AACATTCGTAAAGTGCACCATTAATGAGCAATTTATATTTCAAGTTGTATACAAGTACTGTCATATGAACATAGGCAACGACATCGTATAATGTCTGTGCACCATAGCGAATTACCACGATTAACCGTACACAGCCACATAAAGAGAGCGAAAACTGTTGCTTTAAATTGCGTACATGTATACACATAGCATCAGAGCGCGAGTTTTTAAGTTTGAAAAAATATAAAAGTTTGAACAAAAATACAAAACCGTTATAACATTTGCATACGCGTGCACATTCATTATAAGAGCGCAGCGTTCTGCCACCAAACGCCGGTGGATTCCACTCGCAAGTTTGACATCGCATGTTACGGCCCCCACGTTATGGCCCCACTTGGCCAGCTTGTTGTGTACCGTTGTGTTCGCTTTTACTTTTAACAGGTCCCTGTAGGGTGGGCTGGTAGGACAAGTCTCTGCGCTGTCTATTGCTGATTTTACACCCAACAGCACGAGATTTCACTTCGTTAAAGTATTGAAAGGGGACGGACGGACGGACACATTAATCTATTGCAGGCTGGTACACTCAGTTTACAACTTCGTTCCTACCAGTAAAACGACGAATGTGAAGACCACGTAGGTCTAAGAGGGGTGGGCAACTCTCCCACCGTAGGTTGTATTTGTATGAACAAACGGGCAGGGGTTGTCGGTGTTCGCACTTTTGGGAGGTTATTGCCAGTGGAGCAGTCACGGCGCACGATGCCAGCCTATCTCGAATCAACCGACCACTGCACAACCCCCACCACAACGGGCTGCTGTCGTGTTCATGGCCTGAAGAAAAGCAGCACATTCGTTTGGCATTTATCTTTCAGAGGTTATAGAGGCACAGGTGCATTTTTGTATTGCTGGCGGAAATAACGTACGAATGAAACTATATTTTTTAGCTAACTGCGTATGTAATGTGGAATCTTCTGCTTACAAAATTAAGGCGAGGTTGGCGGCGGGGGGTTTGGTCATATGACTGAGACAGTCATGTCTCGGAAATGTAAGCGTTTTTTTTGTCATTCCCGAATTGGCAACTTTGACGAATGCTGCAATAGAAAAACTGACACTGTAAGTGGCAATAGTTTTAACGTTACAGCCTTTGCATACTCTATCTTAGAATATCTTTGTAATATACACCTTTCAAATGTTCCACTGCGTACGCGGGTGTGCTGCATGGCTCTCCGATGTGTTTGCGGATTGTACCACGAGTTATTGGGCAAAATGTCCGACGTTTCGTTCATAGCTGTGGGAGCTTGTGCAAGAATGATCGCACCGCGTGGTGGGAGAGCTTCGGCATAAATGAGTTAACATTGGAGAGCGATGCAAATGTTCCCGTTTTGTAGAATACCTGACCTGTACTGTCATTTGTAACTCTCCTTTAAAGAACGTACAGTCTGAATTTACAGGCGTTTTACATTAACACGTTGATATGCTACACCCGACGTTCACTTTAAAGACCATGTTTTGTTCTGTCTGCACCCAAGACCCGTTGAATAAATGTGATCATCTCTTACCCATGTGTTCTGTGGTGATTGCCGTGTCTGTGATATCACGTGTCGCGGTCGTGTGTTTAATATGCATTTTTGTAAGATTAAGGGGTTCACAACTGTTCTCAGCTTCGATTTAAAGCTTTCGTGACTGCAAGGATTCATCTTCTTTGGTTCTTTCGGTAAAGTCACGTAGAATGAGAATAAAATAATAAATTGATAAAATAATATTCTCACGACGTTTCGGCCACAACACAAGCGGCCTTCATCAGGTGAAGGGGACGAGACTGGAGGACAGCGCTGGAGTGAGAAAGCCACGCTGAGATCACGACCTTTAAGCTGTGTGAGAAGAAACAAAGCGCCTTGACAAAGGAATTAGCATAGAATTTAGCATTGAAATGGTGTGATTAGCTTGTGACTGGTCACAGAAAAGGTTATGTTAAAGTTAAAGCATACACATCTGCAAAGGCACCCCTTGACAAAGGAATTAGCATAGAATTTAGAATTGAAATAGCTAAGTTAAAGTATACACATCCGCAGAGGCACCCCTTGACAAAGGAATTAGCATAGAATTTAGCATTGAAATAGCTGAGTGATTAGCTTGTAACTGGTCACAGAAATAGCTATGTTAAAGTCAGAGCATACACATTCACCGAGGCACCTAGTACAAATCAAACAGGAGAATTTAGCATTGAAATAACTAGGCGAATTTAGCATTGAAATAACTGAGTGATTAGCTTGTGATTGGTCACAGAAATGGATATGTTGAAGTCAAGGCCTACACATCTGAGCTATTCACGGTAACTGGGTATACAATATATAATGAATACTATATAGTGAACCAATAAAATATACTAAAATATAAATTACCTCAATGTTATCAATAAACTCTATATTCTCCAGACAGAGTGGCTCATTGAACCATCATGTCTCCTTTTAATTAAGACATCCAAAAAGGGTAGTTTGCCATCTTTTTCGACCTTCATGGTAAATCTGATGGCTGGGTGTATGGAATTGATGTGGTCGCGGAATTGGTCTAGAGCAGGCTGGCCATGTGGCCAGATGACAAAGGTGTCATCCACGTACCTCTTCCATAAGCTCGGGCATAGAGTGGCAGTCTGGATGGCGTCAGTTTCAAATTTTTCCATGAATACATTGGCTACAACCGGAGATAGGGGGGAGCCCATTGGGGTGCCCTCAGTTTGTAGAAAGTTCCATTCCAGGTGAAGTATGTGTTGGTTAAGCAATGTCTCACCAGGGGGGGGTACATCAGTGTGCAGTCCTTGATGAACCAGGTCTTCAATGATAGCGATGGTGTCAGGTACCAGGACTTTGGTGAACAAGGACACCACATCAAAACTGACAAGCAGGTCGTCTAGGGACAGGGAAATGCCTTTGATTGTCGATACCAGGTGAGTAGAATTTAGTACCGCAGAGGTGGTTTTTCCAGTGAAAGGTTGCAGTATATCAGCAAGAAAACGTGCCAGTTTATAGGTGGGGGAGTTGATAGTAGAGACGATCAACTCCCCCACCTATAAACTGGCACGTTTTCTTGCTGATATACTGCGACCTTTCACTGGAAAAACCACCTCTGCGGTACTAAATTCTACTCACCTGGTATCGACAATCACTTAGCTATTTCAATGCTAAATTCTATGCTAATTCCTTTGTCAAGGGGTGCCTTTGCGGATGTGTATGCTTTAACTTTAACATAACCTTTTCTGTGACCAGTCACAAGCTTATCACTCAGCCATTTCAATGCTAAATTCTATGCTAATTCCTTTGTCAAGGCGCTTTGTTTCTTCTCACACAGCTTAAAGGTCGCGATCTGAGCGTGGCTTTGTTCGCTCCAGCGCTGTCCTCCAGACAGTCTTGTCCCTTCACCTGATGAAGGCTGCTTGTGTTGTGGCCGAAACGTCGTGAGAATATTATTGTGTTATTTTATTTTATCAATTTATTATTTTATTCTCATTCTACGTGACTTTACCGAAAGAACCAAAGAAGATGTTCTCAGCTTATACAGCAGTAACAAAAAAAACCCTGCTTCAATGAGCAATGACAGAGCTCATCTCTCGGCCCTTAGTCTCGCAATGTCACATTCTCATGGATGTGGGAAGTCAATGCACGGGATCACCACTGTACATTTTCCAAAAAAGTGGTACAGCACTTATCATTCCTGGAGGGATGGCAGGCCTTGATGGGGATTGGCTTGGATCACACCTTCTAACCACTGCCATTTGCCTGATATGAGATACTATACAATTATTGTCAGGTGTGCAGTTTCGAGATCGTTGCAATATTTTGTCAAGATAAAACTTACTACTCTGGATCTTTCGGTAAAGTCACGTAGGTATAAAATAAATCACGACGTTTTGGGCACAACACAAGCGTCCGTCATTACCTGATGCATCTATCACGTAACTAGAATACAAAGTGGCCAGAGTGCACCTGATGACGGACGCTTGTGTTCCACTCGAAACGTGATTTATTTTATACCTACGCGACTTTACCGAAAGAACCAAAGAGCATGGATTCCTGCAGTCACGAAAGCTTCAAATCAAGATAAAACTTTATTTCTAAGAATTGTTTCGCACGCTTCACACGTCATTAACGAGGTTCATACTGAGACGAATGTGGGTTTTTAGATATCACAAATGTCCCTACTAACCAGGCCCGGGAGGAGGTAAAGGCACAGCTTGCATTATTCAACGCATTTATCACGTAACTGGAATAAAAAAGTGGTCAGACTGCAATCCGAGAATAGCACATCAAGGAGAAATGCTTAAACATTCAGCGCATACAGTTGAAAATATCGGTGTTTAATTGATGTTGTTGGAAGGATGGTTTCTAATCAACCAAAAAAAGAAAGCCGTCGGTCATGATGAATCCACCTGTGGATAAATGCCCCTCCCCCCAAGTGGTCGCCATCCGCCACGGTCCAGCGACGTAGCCACACACCTCCACCTGCACGCTGCTCCCAGATTTCATCGTCGCGCGCCCACGCGCGCCTCCTCTGCTGCGGGTGGCTTCGGGGGGCGCATTCCACCCTGAGCCGCCGTCCCTTCGACTGACGGCGTCCTGCTCAAGCCTATTTCATAAATGGTCCAATGTGATTTCAAGAAGGCATCTTTCCATGCTTGTCTGCACACATTTGAGCTTTTTCCATTAAAAAAAATCATAGCACTATGCACTGGTTACACGTTTTCTTCTTTTGGAAACATTGGTACTCTACTTTTCGTTATTCAATTTAGCTTTCCAAAGAAACTCGGCCATATCAGCACAAACTATTTTTGGCACCACGAATTTGTTCCTTTCTTAAATTTTTTAAGATTAAATCCAATTATAGGAAAACATTTAAATGAATATCAGTGTGTGAAAATATCAACCGAGCTATTTTTATAAAAGCAAATCTTGCACGCAATTTTCCTGTGCATCGGATTGCCATTAAGCTAATATAAAAAAATAATCACGGACATCAACACTTATCTTACGTAAAGATGTTATTTTAATAATCATCGCTGCTTCCTGCACATCAGAAGGCGTGGAAACTCTGAGCAACTCGTACATTCCCACCCCCTGTAGAAAATCCACACGCAAGTGAGAGACCATTGAGCCATGTCTTGTCCGTGCCTCCTGCCAGGGCCACAGGGGGGTCTCGAGGGGAGTCCCGCAGACGGATTTTCATGCCACAATGATTGCCCCCCATGGTGACATTCAAACAAATCTGCTTATTTGTGGGTGCTACCTTGGAAAATTGGAAGTGTTGTGCAGTGACGTGGTCACGAAAGAAGAAGCGGCGGGAGTTCACGTATTTAATCAAACATTCATGCGGACAATTTTTTAAGCGAAAAGAACTTGAAAATCGAAAAAAGTAAAAACATTTCTGAAAAAGGAAATAGTAGTAGTCGTTACCTTCTGCTTCATTTTAAAATAATTTTATATGACAATACAGCATCTGTTCAGACAACCCGAACATACATTCCACAATCTTAGACAGTTGTGCTTCATCTAAATCGTGTTGCCTTGTAGAGCAACTAGGTACACACCCACTGTTATATATCGGATGTGGCTGGCATAGAATCTGCCTTGCTGGCAACATTTAGACGGGTCACATTCATCTGGAACATTGAGTCCCCTCGAGTATGCGTGGCTAACGGATCCCACACTTTTAGTGCCACGCACCGAACCGTACATTCATGTTCATATAAATACTGACACTTTGTACCAGAAAATAAATAACTATTGTTTTTGCTGATGTGGCATTATTAGCTGAAATACTTAGTGTTGTTATTTTGCTTGCAACGGATTGTTTTGCTTTTTGTAACCACCATGGCAAGCTAATGCAATGGCAATAATTTACATCTTTACAATAATTTACTTTATATTAACAAACAAATATTAACAAAGATTACTTCGAACCAAATAGCACTGCACACCCAATTTGAACAATGTTAAGGTGGACCACAATGAGTCACGAACATTGGGCTGCTGTGTATATTTGAAAAGATTAGCATGGTCGAATTACTGCACTGTAGTTCCTACATTTGATACAGAACCAATAGTGAAACTGAACGCCATGGCTTGTGGCAATGGTTATTATGTATATTTGCAACAAACTTAAAATAAATTAATCACGATTGTTCATCGAATACAATATGCACTGCTACAACCTTACAATCTTAAGAGAACAGCACTTTTGCTCATTTATAACAGAAAATAAACAGCAAAGAAAAGAACGTTTAAATATTACCGCATGCAAAAAAATGGTGCAATTTAGGCATCATGCAAAGTGACCGATTTGAGGCAGCTTTTCGCAACATGAAGACAAGGCGAGACAGGCCACTTCTCCTGAGACCCCAATTAAACATGCCCTCAGTAACACAAGGCTGGCAAACTTCAGTCGCCGCAATTCAGGCACAATGTGAATGAATATGCAATGCAGCAACAAGCACTTCAAAGTTTAAAACCTATTCAAGTATCTCCACCTCTTAATGGAGTGGTGCCCCCCCTCTCTCTCTCTCTCGAGAGAAAACCCACTTCCAGAAGCGCTGTGCCACCAATGCGCGCGCACGGGCAATGTCACGAGGTATATTCCTTAAATGTTCTTTTCAAATCAAACTTTGTACCGTCGCTCTGCAACTAAAAGAACCACGCCGTCACATCTCAAACCGTGCGCTCTCCTTGAGCAGCAGCCGCGTCAAAAGTGGGCGCAGGAGCTCTATGGTGATCTGCGCGTCTCTCCGACCGAAGGGCTGCGCCTCGTCGTGCGAGTTGGGCAAATTGTGCAGCACCGTGGCCAGCACGTCCGTAGCGGTCATGCTGTCCGGGCACAACTCCCACACTTTGCCCACGTACGGGTCCAGCCCCCGGCTGCAGGTGAACGCATCGAGGAAGGTGGTGAACACCTGGGCCTGCAGCATTTGGTTGTCGATGCGGTACCGGCTGGCGGCCGCCACAGCCTGCTGCCACATGCCCATGCTAAGCAGCAGCTGGATGGCCTGCGCTGCGTCCTCCGGCGAGCCTCTGCACAGCAGCTCGGTGCGGATGAACGCCGCTTCTTCGCCGCCGCCGCCGCCGCTGCCGCCTTTGCTCTCCGGCAGCACGAACAGCGCTCGCAGGTGCGGAGGTGTGGCGGCACTGTCGGCCGACAGACGTGACCTGGGCACCGCTCGCTGACTTTCCTGCGCCGCTCCCACAAAGGGAAGCAGATCCTCGGGCCGGTGTTGGTACAGCGCCACGCAGAGCTGCTCGTAGACGGGTGGCACGCAGTCCCGGTCCGTGTTCTCCTGCATCACGCACCGCCAGGATTCGTTTGTCCCTCCTCCAGCTGCTCCTGCTGCTGCCGCTCCATCATTATTGGGCCCCAGGATGTCCCAAACTGCTGACAGAGTTTCACTCAGGAATGTGTCAAGGAGACTCTGGAATCGCTGAGGTGTGCCCATGTCCCTGCCCTGCAGCAGCCTGGACACCTCCTCTTTGATGAACTCGGCGTATTGAATTTCTGCTTCATCATCCACAACAAATGTACGCTTGATTTGTTCAATTTTTACATAGCTTTCGATCAAAGGCTTCAGTGCATTTTCCAGATTCACAGAAAAGGGTGCGGCCTGTGAATTGGTATTTTTGGGACACACGGCATGGGAAAGGATGGCCACAACAGAAGCAGCTCCTTTTCCAGCGCCACCTTGTTTCAGCTGCTCCGGTGTAATTTTGTTGCCAGTCAAACTTCGTTTCTGGTAGTAACTGCAGGCCTCTTCATAGACCCAAGCAGATAAAACGTCCTGTGGTCTCAAGCTGCCACTGCCGTGCGATCGTGCTGGCTCTGTGTCAACTCGGTAAATTCCTTTTTCAGTCAGAAAACGAAACTCATCCTCGTCCCTGTCCGACATGATGCTCAAGATGCAAACGCCGCCCTTTATTTTCCTTATCAGATGCCCACTCCGAGTGTCGAACATTTCCACGTCCCTATCGGAGGCAACGGCCAATGCGTTTTTGACAGCCAGCATGTCCAAACGCGAGCCGCGCCGCAACAGATCGCAGCGGCACAACACGCGGCACGCCCCATCGCGCTCCACACGCCACACACGGCCGTCGGAGAGGCCCAGCAGCAAGCCCCCTCCGCGGCAAGCGGTGTGCGCCACGATGGGCTCGCCGGTGGGCGGCGGGCTCGCGCACCCCAGCGCCAGGCCCTTGAAATCGGCGTCCGAGTCCGGGCGCCTTGCGCAGACGACGCCGCCGCGGCGCAGGGCCACCGCCGACACGGTGCCATCGCGCGGCGACCACAGCGGCAGCAGCGACTGCAGCGGCGTGGGGTTCCGCTGGAAGGGCACGAGGTGCACCACGTCCGCCGACGGCACCACGTGCAAGGTGGGACAGCCGTGGAGCAGCACCTGCACGCCTCCCAGCGTGGCGGGGCCGCCGCCGCCGGTGGCCTGCGACACGGCCCGCCTGCACACGCAGTGGCGCAGCAGCAGGTCCCTGCTGGAGCGCGGCGCGGAAGAGGAGCGGGACTCGCACCACAGCAGGCACGACGAGAAAGCGGCCGCCGACAGCACCCTGGCACGAGGGCTGATGCACAGGTCGGCACGTCCTGCCGGTGACATCTCGTGCCGCTGCCGCCGCACGTCGCTCCTCCAGAAATCCACGCGCCCGCTCTCGAACACCACCGCCACCAGCGCCACAGCAGGAGGGGGCGCCGGCGGCGTCGCCTCCGCGGGCGATTCCTCCTCCTCCGGCTCGGGCGCCGCGTCGGTCGCGGCGGTCCCAGGCGGCGGCAACACGAGCACGTCCACGATAGCGTCCGACACGTTGGCGTACCCAAACCGGTCGGCGTGGTCGAGGCTCACGAGCGCCCGGCCGCTACGGGCCATGGCGAACGAGCGCCCACAGCGAACCTTGGCCAGGACGCCAGCGGACAGAATCTGCTCGAGCGGCCCCAAATCGTCCACCTCGCACACCGTGTCCAGCGCGTCCAGGTCGCACACCGTGTCCAGCGCGTCCAGGTCGCACACCGTGTCCAGCGCGTCCAGGTCGCACACCGTGTCCACCTCGTCCAGTCCCCACGCCCCATCCGGCGCGTTGGTGTCGTCTCTCCTCAACGCCGTGCCCACCGTGGCAGTGTTGGGCGACTTGCCCATCTTTGCCACTCTCTTGGCCTTCCGCGAGACCTTGTCAACTTTGTTCATCTTCACCACCTCGTCTCTACCCGACGCCTTGCCTCCCTCGTTTGTCTTCTTTAGCACGTCGTTCGCACGCAACGCCTTGGCCCCATCTTCCACCTCGCTCGCACACAAAGCCTCGCCTCTCTTATCCATCTTTAACGCCTTGTACAAGTCCAACGCCACGTTTCCATTTCCCACCTTTAACGTCTCGCCAGCGCCAAATGCTCCACCTCCATTTGCCATCATCAACACCTTGTTCCCACCGTTTCCATTGTCCACCTTGAACGACTTCCCCGCACCCGACGCTTTGTCTCTGCTGTCCACCTTCGCCGTCGCCCTGTCAACGCCCGATGCTCCACCTCCATCGTTCACCTCCAACAGCGCGTCCACACCAGACACTCTCGCTCCATTGTCCATCTTGAACACTTTGTATTCGCCCTCCGCCGTCAACACCTCGCCTCCACTGTCCATCGTCAAACCACGGCGTCAACCTTCCAACTTTTACCAGTTGTCCACCTCGCTCATCACCTCGCCGCATCCACGACGCCTCGTCACCTCGTCGGCCGATTGTCCATCTCTCGTCGTCCCCCCGCAACGTCCACGCGGGCACCTCCTGTCCCGAGCGGATGGGCGCTGCTGGACAAGTTAGCGAGCGCCTATTGAGTCCATGTGTGTGTGTAAGTGTGAAGTTAGCGAGTGCCTATTGAGTCCATGTGTGTGTGTAAGTGTGAAGTTAGCGAGCGCCTATTAAGTCCATGTGTGTGAAGTTAGCGAGCGCCTATTGAGTCCATGTGTGTGAAGTTAGCGAGCGCCTATTAAGTCCATGTGTGAAGTTAGCGAGCGCCTATTAAGTCCATGTGTGTGTGTAAGTGTGAAGTTAGCGAGCGCCTATTAAGTCCGTGTGTGTGAAGTTAGCGAGCGCCTATTGAGTCCCTGTGTGTTAAGTTAGCGAGTGCCTATTGAGTCCATGTGTGTGAAGTTAGCGAGCGCCTATTGAGTCCATGTGTGTTAAGTTAGCGAGTGCCTATTGAGTCCATGTGTGTGAAGTTAGCGAATGCCTATTGAGTCCCTGTGTGTGTGTGTAAGTGTGAAGTTAGCGAGTGCCTATTGAGTCCCTGTGTGTGAAGTTAGCGAGCGCCTATTGAGTCCATGTGTGTTAAGTTAGCGAATGCCTATTGAGTCCCTGTGTGTGTGTGTAAGTGTGAAGTTAGCGAGTGCCTATTGAGTCCCTGTGTGTGAAGTTAGCGAGCGCCTATTGAGTCCATGTGTGTGTGTGTAAGTGTGAAGTTAGCGAGCGCCTATTAAGTCCATGTGTGTGAAGTTAGCGAGCGCCTATTGAGTCCCTGTGTGTTAAGTTAGCGAGTGCCTATTGAGTCCATGTGTGTGAAGCTAGCGAGCGCCTATTGAGTCCATGTGTGTTAAGTTAGCGAGTGCCTATTGAGTCCATGTGTGTGAAGTTAGCGAGCGCCTATTGAGTCCATGTGTGTGTGTGTGAAGTTAGCGAGCGCCTATTGAGTCCATGTGTGTGTGTAAGTGTGAAGTTAGCGAGCGCCTATTGAGTCCATGTGTGTGTGTAAGTGTGAAGTTAGCGAGCGCCTATTGAGTCCATGTGTGTGTGTAAGTGTGAAGTTAACGAACGCCTATAACAACAACAACCCCGTGTGAGTGTGACGAGAGAGCGAGTCTCCTACTAACGCCGTGATGATGTGAGAGTCAGCGAGCTGCTAGCGAGCTCCGATTGCTTCTGCTGCTGATGATGATGTTGCTGATGATGTTGCTGATGATGTTGTTGTTGCTGCTGATGATGTTGCTGTTGCTGATGATGTTGTTGTTGCTGCTTTTGTTGCCATCGTTAATCCGCGACGAGCGGCGTGGAGACAGCGGCGGCAACCTTCTCCTCGTCTTCGCGATGTTGACGAAGGCTGCATCAGCTGGGAGGAAGAGGAGGAGGAGGCGAGGGGGACCGCGGCAAATTTGCGTGGAAGGGAAGTTGCGGGCAAAGTTTGTATGACATTCACAACCCCCCCAACCCACCCCCCGCTGTCTGAGCAGCGGCGATGTCGCTGTGCGCTTCTTCTCTCACGCTCGCCCCAGCACTCGGACATCATTCCCCGGCACTCTCGAATGTTTTGCACCGATCTTAATTGGCAGGCGAATGACACACGCACGGTTGCCGGTCATTAAAACGTCTAAAGGGTGTGCACGACCACGTCCATGGGACATTTTGCTCTGTTGCACGTCTGAAGGGGACGTGATGGATCTCTTCTCCAGCTCGAGCCAATGCGAATGAGCTCTGGGAGTCGGCACGAGTGCGCGAGAGGCATCTGGTGTCGACGGCGGTGTTCGCCGCGGTCCCCGGGCACCGAGCCTCTGGGAGTCACGAGGGAGGCACGAGATGTGGTCACAAGCGAAACTGTTGATGGTGGTGGTGATGATGTTGGTGATGATGGTGGTGGTGATGGTGATGATGGTGTGGTGATGGTGGTGATGATGGTGATGATGATTGTGGTGATGGTGATGGTGATTGTGATGATGGTGATGATGATTGTGGTGATGGTGGTGATGATGGTGGTGATGGTGGTGGTGATGGTGATGATGGTGGTGGTGATGGTGGTGGTGATGGTGATAATGATGGTGATGATGGTGATGATGTTGGTGATGGTGATGATGGTGGTGGTGATGGTGATGATGGTGGTGATGATGATGGTGGTGATGGTGATGATGGTGGTGGTGATGGTGGTGATGATGGTGATGATGATTATGGTGATTGTGATGATGGTGATGATGATTGTGGTGATGGTGGTGATGATGGTGGTGATGATGATGGTGGTGATGGCGGTGATGATGGTGATGATGATTGTGGTGATGGTGATTGTGGTGATGGTGATGATGATTGTGGTGATGGTGGTGGTGATGGTGGTGGTGATGGTGGTGGTGATGATGGTGGTGGTGATGGTGATGATGGTGGTGGTGGTGATGGCGGTGGTGATGGTGATAATGATGGTGATGATGGTGATGATGGTGGTGGTGATGGTGGTGATGATTGTGATGATGGTGGTGATGGTGGTGGTGATGGTGGTGGTGATGGTGATGGTGGTGGTGATGGTGGTGGTGATGGTGATGATGGTAGTGATCATGGTGGTGATGATGATGGTGGTGATGGTGATGATGGTGGTGATGGTGGTGGTGATGATAGTGATGGTGGTGGTGATGATGGTGATGATGATGGTGGTGATGGTGGTGGTGGTGATGATGGTGATGATGGTGGTGGTGATGGTGGTGGTGATGGTGGTGGTGGTGATGGTGGTGGTGGTAGTGATGATGGTGGTGATGGTGGTGGTAATGGTGGTGGTGATGATGATGGTGGTGGTGATGGCGGTGGTGATGGTGATGATGATGGTGGTGATGATGGTGATGATGATGGTGGTGATGAAGATGGTGATGATGATGGTGATGCTAGTGGTGATGATGGTGATAGTGATGATGATGGTGATAGTGATGATGGTGATAGTGATGGTGATAGTGATGATGGTGATAGTGGTGATAGTGATTATGGTGATAGTGATGATGGTGATAGTGGTGATAGTGATGATGGTGATAGTGATGATGGCGATAGTGATGGTAATAGTGATGATGGTGGTAATGATAGTGATGGTGATGATAGTGATGATGGTGATAGTGGTGATAGTGATGATGGTGATAGTGGTGATAGTGATGATGGTGATAGTGATTATGGTGATAGTGATGATGGTAATAGTGGTGATGGTGATAGTGGTGATAGTGATGATGGTGGTGATGCTACTGATGACGATAGTGAATGTGGTGATGGTGATAGTGATGATGGCGATAGTGATGATGAATTAATTGATGTGTCCATTCAACTATATGTGTAGGCGCATTTAATGACAATACAAAAACTTTATATACCAATGAGCTTTCGTTCCCTAAACGAGTTTCTCTCAGGAGTTACCCAGTGAAAACTGGAACCTAATTAGCGACCCATTACAAAATGTGTGCTGGGTTGCACTGCTGTAGTCACGAAATGGCAGGTGATGCAAGTTGTGATGGAGATGATAAGAATGTTAGCCGCTTATTTTGTGAATGTATTGCTATTTTATTGTGGTGATCGTGATGTTATGTTAGCATTGGTAAAGTGGGTCAGGTAATATCTGATTGTAACGATATTATGACGATGTTATTGGTCGTGATGTGATGAGGGTTATTATGATGGTAGTCTAAGCTATAATTATGCTGTTTTTGATAACAGTGACAATGGAGCTGGTGATCATGTACAATTGCCGTGGTTATTTTGATGATTTGATGATGAAACACGCGTTTAGATTATTTAGCTGCCATACATTTCCACGTAATAAGCCATTTCGTTGACCTGTCATTTGTCGCAAGGTCGCATCTGATAAATAACTAATTGCTCAGTTGACTTTACCTGTTAAAATAAATATTGTGTATTTATAGTTATTTGCTTACCTGTCATATACTTTGCATTCCCATTGCTTTATTTATTTTAACTTTCTGACCCTCCCCTACTGGAGATTGTGAAAAATAGCATCAAAGCTAATCGGATTTCTCCAGGATAAATACAAATTCTCATTCTGATGGTAATAGTGGTTGGTGGTGGTGGTGCTGCCCTCACCCCCCGGGGGTGTTGTTTACACGGCGTCACGTGGGCTTGGAGTCGTAACAGATGTGCCCTAGAACGTTCCCCATGACCATTTAGCCAGAGTCTTGCCCACTATCTCTTGCCCACTATCTTAGCCGGGATGCTGATGATCACAACTTAAAGGGCAACCCTGGTACATCGGTTGACCCGTGCAGCACACCGCTCCTTCTGCCAATTATTGAATTGGTACACCAATTAACACGCATGGTCGCAGCATCTGCTGACATTTACAGATTTTGCAAGAGGAAACCTGCCTATTTGTTCACCCGTGTTGGCAGTATACTTCTGAATAAAACTAATTTCACGATTTAAAATAAACGTCAGTGTCCTGTACCTTCACTCGAAGTGTGAACTGGCTCAGTTTTTGCTGCGCTGCACTTAGGAAGTCTTAAATAATGAGTATTTTGTTCTGAAAATTGACAGCACCACGCAATATAGTAATCTATTATGGACATCAAATAATTAACATTCAAGTTCTTTACGGCCATAACCCATTGAGCTACAATGCTTTACGGACAATACTGCCGACGTATGATCTTGCGGGTTAAACATTCGTTGTAATTGGCAACGCTAAATTGCATAGGCTATCGTTGCCATGTTTGGTTTCGGGATGAATGCGGCTGTATCCAGAGCTTGCGATTAAACATTGAGAGCTTGGACTATGAAGATAAAGCAAATGAGAATTAAACGGGGAACCTCGCCCAATGGAGTTAACAATTGTACTCAAACGCAGCTGCGTTCACGATGGTGGGCCCCGGTCACCATCTGCCATGGTGAGTATCTTGTAAAGCAAACGCATTAAGACTGGACTCTCATTTAGCTAGCTGGTTAATAAGTCTATAATCACTGTCAATATTAGGTTTCAGCTTAGAGAGACTGACAAAACTAACACAATGGGATGTATTTTTTGTTTACACATTTTAAGCAAAAAATTGGTTGGGCGGTTGTGTTAAAGATTAATACCAGATAATATATCATCTTCATAGATGGATACTGTATTCAAATTCACTGCCATCTTTTGCATCAATCACCACATTGGGGGATTGTGTTAAAAACCACTTCGGCATTTCCTGTAAACAGCTTTTTTTTGCCTCGTCTCAAAACCAGAGGACACCATAAAAAAGGGAAAAACCTATTCTCTTATCAGAGTATGTTTTTTGTTTGCATTCTGACCACAAGTATTGTGGTTAATGCAGACATGATTCCTTGTAAAAGGTTTCAGTTTGGTGTATTAACATCTTAACACCTGTTTTGTTGCCAGAAAAAAGGGGAAAACCTATTCTCATATTTTGGTCCTGGCAAAGGAGGTCCCATGATGGAGGAATCACTGAAACGAATTCCTTTCTAAATATCACAGCTATGTGCTCGGTAGATTCCCGTTTAGTCGAGTATTGGATCGTTAAAAACCCGTCGATTCCCGTTCCAGTATTGCTTCTCCGCTCAAAGCCACGCCCTTTTGACTCCAAATATGGGGCCTAAAACATGAAACATTTATCATTCATTCTGTCGCGAGTTCATTCATCCCCCTGACAGGGCTCCCGCACGCTTTTAATCCGCGTCACGTGACGGGGGTGGGGGCTGGCTGAGAGTGGGCGGGGTTGAGGGCTGAGAGTGGGCGGAGGGTGAGAGGGGGGGGCGGCTCGCTGAAAGTGGGCGGGGCGTCGGAGTTGAGAGTGGGCGGAGGGTGAGAGCGGGGGGGGCGGTTCGCTGAGAGTGGGCGGGGCGTCGGAGTTGAGAGTGGGCGGAGGGTGAGAGCGGGGGTTGGGGGCTGGCTGAGAGAGGGCGGGAGGGTGGGGGATAAGAGTGGGCGGGGGAAGAGACCCGGAAGTGTCGCACCGCGAGAGAGCGGAAGTGGTGCGCGTCAGTGGCGCGCGCGAGGCCCAGCTCGATCAGGGGGAGCGCGCGAGACCCCCCTTTACAGGCCCCCCCCCCACTCCACCCTCGCCCCCCACCAACCCCCACCGCCTCTCTGTGCCCCCACAGCCTCGAGACCCTCCCCCCCCTTCTCTCTCCCCCCCCCTTCTCATTGCAGCGACAGCGCCCCGCCCCTCACTCACTCACTCGCCCGCCCCGCCCCCCTCTCTGACCCCACTGCGACCCCGCTCTGACACCGTCCGTCAGCGACTGTACCCAGGTGAGTGACGGTCGCCTCGCTCTTGATGCGTCGTTGGCGTGCTTTTGACACGGACGAATGTGCGCCAACCGGTCCTGGGCCTCCCCTAGTTGCCTGGTTCGCTGCGTACACATCATCTTTGGGGAGACAAAGGCGGCCGGGCGTGGTGCTGGCCACTCACTCCCCTCGTGCGCCGTGGCGGCCTTCATTGGAGCTGCTCGTTCACAGCACTTGCCACCAAAAGTCTATTGCGGCTATACGGGAGGATATTTGCCTTTTGGAGTACTGTACAGTACTGTGGCGCATCTGCCAGTCATTCGGTTCACCCATACACGTGGGGTCTGTTTCGTGAACTGCCAGCGAAAAAGTGCACTGAGTGGCGGATGGCGCCTGTTGTTTTCGTGGAGGGGGGGTGGTACTGTTGTTTAAAGTCGAAGCGGCCGCCCTGGTCACGCGAGCACGTTGGCGGAGCTGTGGGGGTGTTGAGGCCGGCATTAGGAACAGGTTTGGGTTTAGTGAGACGAGTGTTTGGAATTTGGCAAGTGGACAGGACAGCCATCCTGGATGCTGGCAGAAGAGGGCAAGTTGGTGAACGTGTTGCAGGACACGGGGCACGGTTACGGTGCTTGCAGCAGATGATTTGGGCAGCTCCCCGATACAGGGCAGGGCGCATGGGTTGCAGTTGACAAGAGAGCCTGGGTCACTTGACAAGGCATGGGTTCGTCTTGCTTACAGGCCATATGCTGATAGTATAGGGCACGTTCATGGTACGCGCACCAAAAATAGCATCAATTATGAATTATGATATTGACTGAAAAATGTACGTGTTACGTTAACAGGACTTGGTGTTGATACAGTGTATGGTATATGGATTAGTGTGCTGACAGCATTGGGCATTGATCAAGGTGCTGACGGCGTATGGAGCATGGTGCATGATCAGGGGTTTGATGCAAAACAAGAGGGCATGGTCGATGCTGACAAAGGACATACAATCTGAGCGAAGGTACAGTAGTACTTAAATAGGGCAGGAAGCGGTAGCCATTGAATAAGAGTGCAATGCAGGGAAAGAAGCGGAGCACAAGGAAGCAGAGCACTAAAACGTGGCAATGGATATGGGCATCATTTAAAATGGTTCTGCTCATTTGAAAAGTGGTGATCAATGTTATCGTGGTGGTGGGGGGGGCGAGACAAGGACCTGGGTTATAGCTACAGGAGATGAACACCACCCCACTTCAGACAGGGGTGCACTTTTACTTTCATGCGTATTTCAAACTTGCATACTTGCAGACACCACAATAAAATGTATGCACAGGTTTACTTATAGCCATTACACAAAATCATGTAAAGTTCAGAAAAAAAACCCCCGTGTCACCAACATCACTGATAAGGAAGTCATAAATTGCATATCGTGAGGCAACAATGGACCACAGCCGCACACTGTCCTTATAACAAAGTCAAGTTTCCAGCCCTTGTTAGCTGGTTGCCATTACAGGGTTTTGGCAGTGTTGAGCCCCCATTGCACTGGAAACATTCGTCTTAATGTGTTTGTTGCACAGTTGCATATAAGGGCAGCCATTGCAACAACATGCATTACACATGGATGATTTGGTTGGTGATGGGTGCATCAGACTGGCACTGCGACTGACAGCAGGGCCTCAAAGCGAATGCATTAATTAATTATATGACATTGCAGCCCAGAAAATGACTCCAAACCCTGGCTAAACCGCGAGAGACGACAGCTACATGACATGGCGTTGATCTACCAGTGGATAGATAATTGGTAAAAAAAAAACTTCTTTGAGCATTATTTACAAAATATTTAAGTTACAGTGATTTGAAAATGTTTAAAATGTTATTTAGGACACGATATGGAACGGATATTTGTTCAATAACATGATAGCAGTTCTAATTCAAGGTGTAAACAGTCTGCCATGATACACTTGACTGACGAAGCTGTGGTGAGGCTCATGAAGGGGTATGGTCATCTGTAGTATATTCAGATGTAAAAAATGAATTGCATACTTTTAGAATACAGTACTTTTTTGCATTGCGATGCTTATACATTGGTGTTGCTGTTTTGATGCATTTACAGTGAGGGAAAAAAGTATTTGATCCCCTGCTGATTTTGTACGTTTTCCCACTGACAAAGAATGGATCGGTCTATAATTTTAATGGTAGGTTTATTTGAACAGTGAGAGACAGAATAACAACAAAAAAATCCAGAAAAACGCATGTCAAAAATGTTATAAATTGATTTGCATTTTAATGAGGGAAATAAGTTTTTGACCCCCTCTCAATCAGAAAGATTTCTGGCTCCCAGGTGTCTTTTATACAGGTACGAGCTGAGATTAGGAGCACACTCTTAAAGGGATATGTGCTTTCTTGGTGCGATTATTCGCAAATGGAAGAAACACAAAAGAACTGTCAATCTCCCTCGGCCTGGGGCTCCATGCAAGATCTCACCTCGTGGAGTTGCAATGATCATGAGAACGGTGAGGAATCAGCCCAGAACTACACGGGAGGATCTTGTCAATGATCTCAAGGCAGCTGGGACCATAGTCACCAAGAAAACAATTGGTAACACTACACCGTGAAGGACTGAAATCCTGCAGCGTTTTTGGATTTTGGATTTTTTTCTGGATTTTGTTGTTGTTATTCTGTCTCTCACTGTTCAAATAAACCTACCATTAAAATTATAGACTGATCATTTCTTTGTCAGTGGGCAAACGTACAAAAGCAGCAGGGGATCAAATACTTTTTCCCTCACTGTATTCAATCCCAGGTCTGCTTTGAAAAAGATAATGTCTCAATGGACTCTTGGTGATAAATCAAGGTCATATGCACTATATGACTTTCTCTCGATCCGAATGTGGATTTCTGTAATTGTAGCTTTCTGAATAATGCACAATTACACTTTTTCTAAATAATTGTCATTTTGTCACTGAGACATTGGCATTGTGCAGCGTTAAGTGCAATTACATGGAATTTGCATAATGGTAAATATTGGTGTACAGTATTTCTGGAATACTTTGATTTGCCACATTGAACATTGAGTATTGGTTATGTTCAATCGTGCTTGCAGGTCGAAGGTCATACACAAGGTGTTGTTACATTTTACTGGACCTTTGAATGGGAGTGGTGGAGCCAAGTCCTTTGCGGTATACACGTGCAACATTGCATTAATCTGGAGCCAGATTGTTAAAGAATTATACAGTTTTTGTGTACTCGCTTTAGATGCACACCTGCACCAGGTGTTGCAAGGAAAACGATGAGAAATTATCCGTTGTACAAATACCCGAAGGCTTTGACTGTGCTGAAAAGAATGAGGCGAGATATTTGGCTAACGGATTTATCATTTTTGGGAGTCTACGTAATGCGGCATGTTCATAATTCACATTCTGATTTATTTATTTGAAAAGGCTGGTGGGTTCGATCTTACAAAATTATTTCCTCAACATTGTCCTTATTATTACTATGATCTTGGCATTGGTTTATTTAAAATTAAGTGTTTATGTTAGCATGGCTGATTATCGCATAATGGTTAGCTTTTTTAGAAACAGTTTTTTGTTCTAGTTTGTAAAGGCTTATGTGCATTGTACAAAGGTAAATATTCTTCACAAAATGCAACGAATATTTATAGGTTAAGTCAAAGCGACAATTTGAGTGGCTTGAATGTTTTAAATTTTCTAGCAAATATTGGTAGAGTATTAAGTTTAGTTTAGCTATAAGAATAGGTTTTTCCCCTTTTTTCTGTCAACAAAACAGGTGTTAAGATATTCTTGGTTCTTTCGGTAAAGTCACGAAAGGACCAAGAATATTAATCCCTGCAGTCACGCAAGCTTTAAATAAAAATTTAGGTGTTAAGATGTTAAAACACCAAACTGAAACCTTTTGCAAGGAATCATGTGTGCATTAACCACAATACTTGTGGTGAAAATGCAAACAAAAAACATACTCTGATAATATATGCATTGTCTTTGAAACTGATTGGTCCACACCCGAGACAGCTTTCTTTCGAACCTCGTCTCGCACGGTGTTAGACCAGAGGATGCCAAAAAGCGCCACACAGCACAAAGACAATGCCACTATCAGAGTAATGAGAGCTCGGGGTGAGCAGCTACATCATGAGACCTCCTTTGCCAGTAGCAAAATTTGAGAATAAGTTTCCCCCTTTGTTCTGGCAACAAATCAAGAGTTAAGATGTTAAAACACTAAACTTGAACCTTTTGCAAGGAATCATGTCTGCATTAACCACAATACTTGTGGTCAAAATGCAAACAAAAAACATACTCTGACAGTATATGCATTGTCTTTGAATCTGATTGGTCCACACCAGAGACAGCTTTCTTTCGAGCCTCGTCTCACACGGTGTCAGAGCATGTTTTTTTTTGCATTTTCACCACAAGTTTCTGTGGTTAATGCAGACATGATTCCTTGCAAACTGTTTCATTTCGTTGTATTAACATCTTAACACCTGTTTTGTTGCCAGAAAAAAGGGGAAAACCTGTTCTTATATTTTGACACTGGCAAAGGAGGTCCCATGATTTAGTTTAGCTATTGTAGTGAAGTGGTGGCAAAGATTGCATTCTATTGGTGACAAGGGATGAAGTTCTGTAATATATCCCTTTAAATGTAAATTTATTTATTGATATTAGTAAATTATTTATTGATAAGAGTAAATTAATCAATGCTTAAATACATGACTGAAATGTGCTGACATTTTTAGATTAATATGCCACTTGAGTAAAATTAACACTTGTGCATGGGGCTTGTATAGGACGTAACATTTGTGAGGCTTTTTGCTTTCTAAAATTAATTATAAACAATGATAAGCTACAAAACAAGTAAGTGTAAAGTAAAACATTTATATAACACGCATGTGAATGAAGTGTTCACATGCGAATATTATTGTGCCGTGGTTGAAGTTAAACTTATGAGTGTGCCAAATCACAGCATCTATTATTGTTTTCTCTTGTCAGTTATGGCTTACCATGGGAAAGGCTGCTGTAACATTTGGCCACAGCACACTATCCTACCGGTGCTAATCACAATTCTCAATGGTCCTTTGCTGTCATACTACAATACTTATCAAATATGTGCACTGTAGAGTGTAAGCAATGATCGTCCGAAGTACATTCTGGTCTGATTCTGTTACTAGAGTTTATTCATGTGCAAATATGCAAGCAGTGTATACATATATTTGATTACAGGGCTTAGAACATGACAAGTATAATGCAATGGGATCGTGTGTGTGTGTGCCTGCACAGAGCTGTTTGGTCCTGCTGCGCTTGGCCTTCAACCATGGCACAGCCTGAGAAGAAGGCGGGCCTCCTGCGCAAGTCTTCCAGCGCCAAGAAGATGCTCAAGGAGAAGGTGGTGCTCATGTATGACGAGATCTTCAAGGTACTGTGGTGCAGGGAGAGCAAATGGGTAATGTGTGTGGTTGCAGTGGTGGTGATGTATACCTGTTGTCAAATTACCTCAAGCCAGGATAGGTGGATAATGTAGCATTGGAGCCAATGTGGCTTGGCAACAGAGGTATTGTCTGTCGGAGGCAGTACAACAAGTAGGTTTCCAACGGGCTGGGTGGTAGCTGTGTTTGGAGTGCTCGACGAACAGTTGCAAAGTTATGATTTCATATCCCAGTTTGAGGGTCCACTCAGGAATTCATACCTTTGAGGTCAATGAAATGAGTACTACTTTGACATATCACGGAGAGACTTATCGCCTTCAAGATAATGTGGAATTTCCATCACTGGCTTAGAATCACCAAAGGTCCTGAGACACTTGAGATTTTTTTTGACTTTCTTTGAGTTTTATCCAGGCAGTTTGTTGCCCGATACATATATAAGTTAAAAAGGAATAATAATATTTAAGAACAGTGTTCCATGACTCACTACCATTTGTGGATCTTTGAATATGTTTATTTATAGTGTTGCAATGTAATGATTTTCAGTGGTGAGACAATATTTAGAAAACATTGTAAAGTATGCTGCAACAGTTACTGTGAGTTGGTCTGATTATAATGACATTGCTAAGTAATACAGTGGTCAGTATGATCTTGTTTATTTTTTGTTACCTTAGACTGAGGATCCAGCTCAGAATAATCCTCGATTCTGGGAGGAGCTCTTCTTAATGAAGGTGAGATATACATTTTTGCGCACATCCCTGTATGCCATGTAAGCATTGTGAAATTTGATAAAATACCATACTTTGCATTCACCCAGGGAAACTTGCACTGACAAATGTCATCATATGTTGATGTTTTTCCCACCCAGCTGGTGATAGTTGTACTTCTATTTAACCTCTTCAGCTTCAGTTTGCAGATTTATGCAGCTTTACTTCGTATGTATGCTAGCAGCAGTGGGTGTGATGACTTTTAAACCAGCTCTGTGTTATTTTGTCACCTTAAGACAAATGTTTTGTGTTCTATTTGTTTATGGTGGCTATAGTAGAAATACATTTAACCAAAACTAAGACATCGTCCCTTTGGAATATGGCAGCATGATGATGGGAATTTTGATTATTTCATTGGAATAAAACGGTTGTTTCTTCACAATGCCATGGCTGCTCTTGCCAAATAATCCAAGACTGTGTACTTGACACACTGTAACATGCATTATAAACCGCATTACATTCAGCAATTTGGATTATCTGATGAGATTGCCAAATACATCTGGAATAAACTATTTTTAGAAGTTTTTGCTAAAAAAGGCTAAATGCATTATATTAACTGTCCCATTTGTGGGAGGTGCTGACCCAGAGGCATGTTTGATGTCCAAGGGTTTTTAGGTTTCAGCCGACAGTGGAATCAGCAGTGACGTTGTCAGGGTTATTGCTGAAGCACTGCTTGTTCACTTACAATCAGACTTTACAATAACAACTTAGCCCTTCTTCTGACTCTAGTGACTTGGATTTGGGGTCGGTACTTAACACGGAGACCGAGTCACCATGTGCATGAGACATAGCTGCAGGGCTAATAGATGGTGCCTCTAGGAGATAGTAAAATCACGCAGGATTTCAATATGATATTTGCTTGGCTGTGCCATAAAAAGACTGAATTTTCCATGTAAACAATTTATTTTCTCCTTACCTTTCGGCTGCCACTGGGTATGAATAAGTACTGACTAATGCTCATTGAAGTTTATGGATATTAACAAATTAATCCAATCTGGATTACAGTTGTGGAGCTGTGGGGGTAACAGCATGCAGCAGTCAGACCCCAACCTGTCTCGATGGTGCTGGTGGCAGGGCATTTGTCAATTTTGGTGCACCGTTATGTCACCAGCTTTCCATTACAATTTCTGTCATGCATTTCTACGTTACGTTTTAAGTCAGAGCCCAAATCAGGGCTATCATGAGTTTTTTTTTATCCAGATACGGTATTTGATGAGAGTGCATGCTAAGTGGATTAATGCTGCTCTTGGGTGAATTTTCACAACGGGGGAAGTTTGACAGCGTTGTATAAAATGTGTGAAAGATGTGTATGTACTGGAAAGTGCCTTGAAGTCGTTTTTCAATTAAGGTCACAGCATCAATGGAGTTTGTTTTGTTATTTTTTAGGTGAACTTGGAGTACCTTGAGGGGCGGCTGGAGGCTCTGAATGGGGAGATGCTGTTACAGCTCAAGGACAACATCAACGGGCTCTTCCACCACAGTGTGCTGGCGCTGCGTGAGGAGCACCAGATCCGTGTAGTCAATTCCCTGCAGGTGTGTGTGTGTGATGCACCCCACGCATCAATGTGCCCCAGGAGCATGCTTATAATTCAGCAATTCACATTGGATATACAATGCTCCCAAGTGTGGAGAAGTCAGACCCCTTATCAAAACTGTCTCTCAAAGCAGACACTGTGAACGTTGGTTCTCCATCACAGCTCACGTTGGTTCTCTGTCACAGCTCCAGTCATCTGGAATTCACACTCTCTTTTCTGACTGCACAGATTAGTATTGGTGTCGATCTTTTGTCAAAATCTGAGGACTTTTCCCATTTATTTATTTTATTCTCCCACTCCTCTGTTAAGTTAAATTTGTGCATGTTACAAATGCCTATTTAAAGATGAATGAATAAATTACATTTCAAATTGGCATCAAACATCTGCTGAATATTTCCATACAAGATTATTCCCAAGGTGTGTGTAGCAACGTGGTACATGGGCTAGAGAGAGACAAAATATTCAAACCTGTGACCTTCCAACAGAAATACTTTCGTATGAACTGCACATGTATGACACATGTACGTTATACTTTATAGTTAGCAATAGCAGAGTTTTGCAGTTCATGGAAAGTATTCGTCAAATAATCATAGAGTTTACTTAAACTAGATTTTCACTGTTGGAGCATTGTATGGTCTCAACCCTCTTTAGCATTATTCTTCTATATTGATATTTGCACAGTGTATTTAAGATAATCTTATTGTTGTCCAGCTGTCTGGGTAGCACACGTGAGAGAACATGACTCATGGTTGAAAAAAAACCAACGTAACTGGTATTGGCCAAACATCCCAATGTTGAAATATTACCTGCACATTACATTATTGGAATTACCCCTCACAACATTGCCCCTTTTCTAAACTTGGCATGACCCTCTTAAAAAAGTGCGTTAAAACTCAGTGAAGCTTTTAACAATAATAATTAACTCTGTTTTATAAAGCACCTTTTCAAAATCTGAATAAACAAGCAAAATAATGATAATTAATAATAACTATCAGAAGGAAATGAGCTAAATCCCTCTTGGGGTTCAACTCATTTTATCATTTTTGGGGAATATTACAAAATGAGTCCCACTTTGTAGGCAGTCAATAGTTATTGACCTGTGGATTGACTTTATCGAGTAACGCTGATGTGGAAATTCCTGCACTGACATAAGGCCACGGACAGAGAGATGAGCCTCGTCTAATTTCTCAAGCAATTAGGCTCCATGGAGACATCGTGCAAACCCTGCATTTATAGTGCCACAAACATTTATAGAGCTACACATATAGTCAACTCTCAATTGTCTGGGATCGTGAGGAGAGAGGAAGAATGGCCTGGATAAAACAAAAGCACGGATAATGCAAAACATTTAAATCGGCTATAGAAACATTTATTGTTTATCTGATAGACTAGTGATGCAGACGAATAAAACAAGGTAATTCTTTCACACGGCAATGCATAACACACATTGCATACAGAAAATAATACACCGAGAAAAAATGTGTCAAGTTGTCAAGTTTTTTAATTGAAACTGTTAAAATGATTCGTCACCATTTGCTTGCAGACATTTGCGGCCACATGGGCAGTGAGTCACTGATCCCCAAAAAGTGGGGAGCAGCTCGCCTATGAAGACATTAATTTTGTCAGGCATGGTCAATCCTCAACCCACATGAGCTGCCGACGGATAATTATCAAGAGGTATAACGCAATATTTAAATTGGTTTGTTCCCCAGACGCTGTGCGGCCTGTTGCGAGGAGTTCATCAGAAGAACATGCCCAACACCGGCTTCGATATCATCAACATTCTCATGGGCTTTGACAGCGCCGAGGAGGAGATGAAGGTGATTATCATACTTTAACTTTGCCAACACAATTGAGGGGGATTCGCTTGATTTCAATGGGATATTAATTTGTAATAACAGATGGGGATAATGTAACATATTGTATCACAAAATGTGACTTGCAGGTGGGGTTGGTGTGTGACTCCAACAGACACCCCTCTCTCGGAAAATGTTGCTTTGGTTGTCCGAGACAGTACAGCAAGTAGGGTTATGATGGGTTATTTGCTGAGTGGAGTTGAGTGTTCTGTTGTATACATGGTTTTCTTTTAATGCTGCAGATTATGCCTGGTAAAAAATCCCAAAAATACTTAAACGTTTTCAACTGGTGAGATGTCATGTCCCTCACCTGGTACGCAGGAGCTCGTGGGTTCGATCCTGACCCTGATGCCTGTTGTATATTTGTAGTTTGCGTGTTCTTTCTCCCCGTGATCGCATGGATTTTTTAATGGGTTCTTTGGTTTTGGCCTGTTCTTTTAGAAACATGCGTTGAGATTATTAGGCTGTAACTATAAATTTCTACATGATGAAAAGCCACTTTTATGAGCTATCATATGTGGCCAGGTTGCCTCTGAAGAATAGCTCATAGCTTAGTGGGCTTTACCGGGTCATTTAAAATTGTTTATTCCAAGCAGAACCCTCATGGAAAACCACTTTTGTCTTGTAGTTAATTAATCATTTGAATTGTTACCGCTGTCAATTATATTATCTCCACCTGGTGAGGCTGTGCTTCTTGATGGGAAGTCGGCATTAATTATTCCTGTGGAGACCTCTGTCCTTGCCATAGGGGTGTGGAGTTTAAATCGCTCATTCATGGTGATCAGCATGCAAGCACAAATGAATGCTTACGAGTTTCCTCAAATACTTTTCCAGGGCAAACCGTACTCTATAGTTGCTTGTCAGAATTTTAACAATTCGAATTGAGCAAGGGAGAAAAGTAATTATTCCAATACTAATGAGGCACTTTCTCATAAACGTCATGCTGTAAACGATAGATTTGGAGCACTTATTGACGCTGCTGTTACATGATGCCACCACTAGGTGTCACCGTACACATTCTCTGACTGGTTCCCAACCTTTCGCGATCCACCGACCACTGTTGACCATCAAAATGGTTTTTTTGCGAACCTCCATGCATCAGTAAAATGGACATTTAAACTATGAACTAGTTGTGCAGTGGCAAGTAAAACACGTGGTGTTTTGTGAAGAAAAGCAATATCGCGGTACGGCATCTGCAACAGAACTGCGTGCCACTTCCCACAGTCTTGTGGGACACCAGTGGTCCATGGCCCATCGGGTGGGAACCGCTGCTGTGGGAGATTGGATAATGCCACGATGTCTGAATAAAATGCACCAAAACTAGTTTCCTGTAGCTTTTGCATGATGAGGCATATAAGGTGTTAAATTGACTGTCTTTAAAGTGTATTGTTGATCTAGTTGTGTGGTTGACTTTATTTTGAACAATGGCAGCCTCAAGTCCATAGAGCCCATCACAAGATTTTAAATCACTCATTTATAACACACTTTTAATAACTTTTTCTCTGGGTCTCACATAATCTTGGTTACATTCCATATTTTATAAAGTTTTCTTTAAAAACTGTTCTGGTCATATCTTGAGTTGTGCTTTGCAAGGAAGAATATTGATGAAAAATTCAATGAAGACATTTTCAGAGGCTGGATAACTATGAGTTATTTGTTAGACTTTTAGTTTTAAAACACTTTAATTATGAATCATGCTTCTGCTGGCATATAATTTTAAAGAAATTATCCGAATTTTTATTGTATTCTTGGTTAAGTCAATGTATCCCAACACCTTTCTCACTGTTTCATATTGTGGTCATGTTCTACATCGAAATGCAAAGATTACAGTCTTGCAGCCATGCACTCTTCTCTTTGGCATTGTTAGGCCTGGTTATGTATGATAAATAAAATGGTTAATACCTGCTGCACAAATGTAGCTTTGTTACTAACAAATTACATATCATTTATATCAATATAATAATACATCCTAACCCATCATCAGTCACAGGAGATTTAGTGAGTCCTAATCCACTTCTACCAGTTGATTTTAATGCAATTTATATTGAAGCCTTTCCAGCACAAACATTGCATTTTGAAATCAATATTAATGTAATTTTAACAAAAACACTTTTTGTTGTTGCTCACTGGATGGGTTCAGTCAAGTGCAAAAATCAGCGAACGTGACAGTTTTTGCAGTACCTGTGTCTGAAATATTGTACTAAGTGCATTATGTTCACAACTAATATAGAGCTCACATTACATATTATGGAGCCATATTACACTGCCCCAGAGGTCCTTCAGAGTTCCATACGGCTTGGCACAAGTTTTGCCAATAACCAGTGACCCGTGATTCCTCTGCAATAAATCTTCATCACCCTTGTGCCTCACACTAGCGACTGCTTTCTCCCAACGCCATCCCCCTGCTGCCTCTTGAGCTACATGATTTACTACACGGGGGAATCGGAGCGTACGTGGGTGGGAGTTGGAAAAACACGTCTGGATGGAGGGCACTGGGCTAAAACACTGCCCCATAGCTACGCATACAAGCCATTAACCTAATTGTTGCCTCGTGCAATTATTCAGTGTCTCCTTCCTCTAATGAGCATTGGAGCAGTGCTCATCTTTGACTGCTTTAAGCCAGCAATGGTTATTTTTAATTCTAATTTTCCCGATTTACATAGGACAACCGCTGTTGACTTTCTGCAAAGTGGGTACCTATTTTATTGACCTTGGAGAAATTATGTCCTGAGTTGACTCTTGATCAAAATACTGTGCTCCTTTGCCATAATTCTTGCAGTCTCACTCTGTATTAAGACTGTTTAAGAGGATGTTACATCGGCTTGATTGTCCAATTCCTTAAGTATTTTGCATGCAGAAACAAACCACAGAGCCCATAAAGATCGTAACATTAGTAATAGTAATAGGTTTTTACCCTTTTATCTGGCACCAAAACTGACACTTTTATACAAGGGATCATGTTTGCAATAACCACAGCACAAGCAGTCGAAATGCAAACAAAAAGAGACAACTCTGATAATGACATGCACTTTCCTTGAAATTGATTGGTCCACACCCGAGACGGCTTTTCTTAGAGCCTAGGCTCCACTGGTGTTGGACCAGATGACGCCAAAAGGCGTCATTGTACTCAGTCCTTTGCTTTTCTAGATGCTATTTAGTCTTTCAATATTTGAATTTAATTTTCCTATCTTGGCTTGTTCATCAGAGCTTATGATACTGGACTCCCTAAAATAGCATAAACCCAATCCGGAAATAATAATGCTCCATGGCCATGTGCCGAGGTGAATGTGCGATGGTAGTGTGTGAATTGGATTAACTCGGACACCTGCAGCAGTTTCTTAAGTTCTGCAGCAGTTGGGAAGCGGAGAATGGGGAAATCTCATAACTTTAAATCGCATTACAAGAGGAAATGATTCGGTGTGAAAACCTGAGACCCGGCAATATGATGGATGTTGACTTTGGCTCGATGTGCATTGCATGGAAAGTGTACGGCCGTTAGATGTACGAGGGCGGGATCCATGGTGGCCGCTTAAGTGCTGTGCTTTGCTGATTGTTGTCGTGTGTGGTGTGCTCGTTACCCAGAGTCTGATGGAGAGCCTGGACAATCTGCTGTGCGGGGACGGCTCTCCCAGCCTCAAAAGTCTGTGCCTCAAGCTGCTGCTCTGCCTGGTCACCGTGCGTTTGCATTGCTTGGACACGCACACGCTGCGCCTCCCAAAACAAGCGTCCCTACCCCAAGGCTCCTAATGCTGATTGGACAAGCGCGTTTAATGAATTCAACCATGTACCATTTATATTACATTGAGAAAACATGTCACGATTGTTATGGATACCTGCTGTAATTGTGTGAACAGTATGAACTGGGTTTAGTAATGCATAAATTAATAGTTTACGATTTACACTTTCATATTTGGGTCAGGTGTTCCTGTTAACTGCTTATTTTGACCAGCATGATACAAGATAGTGGGACCAGCACCATGCCTAGGCGCATCTACTTATGCCTGACAATTGATCTCTAGCTTCAATAACTGCCGTGCACAATGACAGCAGCTGATGGACCTGGTTGATGTGTTCCTTTTGTGGTGCACGTGCCATTTAATATTCATGTGCACTCACAAATTTAATTCTGCAAAGATCCCACCGCGTATATGCTCCTAGGCCTGGTTTCAAGCACATGTCACTTAAACGCAAATACGCGCGTGACAGCAACCTCACACAGCTCTCATGGTCACACAGCTTGCATGTACAGGAGCGTAGACCCATTGTCTTCTACAAAGAGCAGCTAGAGATATGACTCGCAGGTATGGGCTACATGCCTGAATCGGCTGCAAGGTGTGTGTGTGTGTGCGCGAACATGTAAAGTCAGCATGTCCAAACTGCTCTGAAAATAGCCCATCCCCTCTGGGCACTGAGCACAGCTATAAGGTAGCAGGTGCTAACCCTGTTCTTCCATTGGCTTCCTCTGGAGGCACAGAACCATTTTCAGATTGGCCTATGTAAGACAGGAGTACATCGATGAACGAGGCTACAACTACATTGTATTTATATTCTTAGTTTTTTCGGTAAAGTCACGTTGAAGAGAAACAACAAAATAATAAAATATATATAAAACAATAAAAAATTCTCACAACGTTTCAACCATAACTCAAACGGTCGTCTTCAGGTGTGTTGGTTCGCATAAATAAATTTTGTTTAAATTTATTTATTTATTTAAATTTATTTTTTTATGCGAACCAACACACCTGAAGACGACCGTTTGAGTTATGGTCGAAACGTGAGAATTTTTTTATTGTTTTATATATATTTTATTATTTTGTTGTTTCTCTTCAACGTGACTTTACCGAAAAAACTAAGAATATGAATTACTGCCGTCACGAAAGCTTTAAATCAAAATTTACATTGTATTTACTTTAGTTTCGTGGTTAAATCTCCAGTGTGGTTTTAAAGGTTCGTGTCTCCCCCCCCCCAAGTACAACTATTTTAATTGAGCTCGATGAAGTAAGACTTACAAAGCACGTTTGTCAATAACGCAGCCAACAACACAGCATCAAGGCAAATTAATCTCTTACAATGATACGTGTAGTGGCCTTTACCTTGTCAGAACTTGTCTTTTGTATAAAATACAGTTCTATTACTGATCTTTCCCAAGTGCCAAACAAGTCATGGACTGTAATTAATGAGACGCATCTCTGATTAAGCTAATCAGGTGTGAGCCCATATTTGAGGGTATCCCAAAATACGCACTGCCTATTTACGACAGCTGTGAAATAAATAGCTTTTGATAATTGTGTGTGACCGCTGCAACACACTTGGACCTCAGTGCATAAACATATTAGGTACAAAAATCTTCTGTAATTTGATGTAAGTTAAGTGATTTTTTTTCATCATATGCAATGTCCACTGATTCGATCAGATGTGTGTTTTCTGCTTTCCAATTGGCAAAGTAATTATTTTTGCTCCAGTGGCCATGTCCGTTGGCATGTGTGATAAATCTTGTCAAACTTGTTTTTTTGCCCGTCCAAGGACGGGTGTATATTGCAGTAAATCTGAAATATTCAATAGAAAAATTGTTCAGCTCATGATTATTAATGAGGAGGGGGGTTTCTCCATGTGGAGTTACGTCACCCGCTAATGGTTATTGTGGAGGGATGCGGCACGTGGAGCGACGTCACCCCATCATGGTTATTGTGGAGGGGTGCGGCATGTGGAGTGAGGTCACCCGCTCATGATTATTAATGAGGGGAGGGGTGCGGCATGTGGAGTGGGCGGCCTTCTTGTGCGTTAGTGGAAATTTCCACGCGGGCATGAATATTAATGAAGGGGGGGGGGGGGGCTCTTTTGCTGTGACGTCACACACGGATGTAGCACTGCTATGTAGATTTATTTTTTACCGTCACTTTCTGTAAAGAAACGCCATATTTGAAGCGACTTTGCGTAACAATTGTTTTTGTTCAGCTCGACCTTCCTCTGCGTTAGTGTAAAAATCCACCCACTCATGAATATTAATGAGGGGGGGGGGTGGTCCTCATGTGGAGTGACGTCACGCAGGGGGTGGGCCTCGTGAAGTGACGTCACGCACGGGACGGACAGACATTTCTTGGTGTTATCGTAGGTAATCTCAGAAGCTAAGCTTGGCTGAGCCTGGATAGCGCTTGGATGGGTGACCACCATGCATGACAGGTGCTATAGGCTACAAGACTACACTGAGCAGCAGAGGGCATTGCAGCAAAAACACATTGCTGTACTGTACTTCTAGACACGTTTACGTAACCTGCACCGATCAGCATGGTGAGGTATGGTCAAATAATCCTGACGACCTGCGTGGTATTGGGGAGGAACATGAGTCCCAGATAAATCTGCAAAACTTCGACGTCACATCCTGCAGTGAATGTGGCAAAGGGCTGTGCATGTTCATGGTGTTTTTAATGAATACATACTTTTAGTCGTTGGTTGAAGCGACATGTAAATGACCCAGTACCCCAGCAAACACACTGATTTATAGATTATGTTACAATGATTTCCATTTGTTTAGCAGTCCCGCTTACGAATGTCCACACAGATATGCCACATTTTCCCTCTCTTTACTCTTTCAATTGGTCAGCCGTAGGGGTTTTATATGGAAATAAATGAATTCTGTTGTTTAATTATTGTTGTCATTTACACAGGTCACAGACAACATCAGTCAAAACACCATTTTGGAGTACATCATGATCAACAGCATATTTGAGGCAATTGTTCAGGTAAGACATTTACTTGTATAACCACGAGTGTTGCATTACGAGACCGTGTTTGTTGTAGATTATGCATTGGCTAAAGTGACGTTTGGTGGAACACAGGGCGTTTGATGTGAGAGGCGGTTTTTGTGTTTCTGTTTGTGAAGCCATGGATGTACAGTTTACACTGTCCTGCAGAGAGGAGTATTATTGTTTCATATGCTGCAGAGTGCATTATTATTACTACTGCAGTATTCCTCTCCCCATTATAAGAATAATGTTGCAGTGCTGTGGCCAACAACCATCTGTGTGGCAAGCAGAGACTCTCGTAAATGGGTGTCTGAAAGGTTGAAATGTTTAAAATAATTTTAGGCTGCTGTAGTATTTATATGGAAACTATTGTATAAATGCTCCGGTTATTGCATCTCATAACACAAATTAGCAGGCAAAGACATGCAAACCTAGAAATATCACATCCTCGAGTTAAGGAACATGTAATTCACGCAGTTAAACATGGGTGTACATATGTAAAGGAGTTATGTTTTCAATCGTGTTATAGTTCCAGGTTTGTCACGGATCAGAAACATTGAAACAAATTTTAGAAAAAGCACAATTTAACTTGGAGAAATGTATGCTTGGGACTAGACTGGGAGATAGGAAGAGAAGCACATGGGTGTGAGATTAAATGCTAAAAATAGACATCAGAATGACAGTGAAGAAAAGTAGGTGAATTTGGGGCAGGTCACATAGCTGGAAAGAATGATGGATGTTGTACGAGATGATGTATGAATGGAGAATGTGCCTGAAAGGATGATCACCTTAGAGATGGAATGACGAAGTCGGTAATTGTGTGAGATTGATTGGAGCATCGCAGTAACATGAGGGATGGTGACAGCATTGGAAGGCCTTAATCCATCATCGGACTGGCAATCGTTGTTGATAAATAATACTGTTTACAAAGAACAACTTTAAACCACTCAAATTTCATACCGAGTGGTAAACAACTCACTTGTTATGCTGCTGTATGCTGGTTACCTTGAAGTCCTGCAGGTGGAAGCCTCGTGAACGTGACGATCTTTCTGTGATTCACCAATCCCACCTCTAAAGCATTGGCTCGAGCCACGTGCCACCGAGCTCAGATATACGTTCCACCATCCCTGAGATATGCTAAAGAAATAATAACATCTCTTGTCAGAGCACAGTGGGTTGGAAGTGTTCATCTGTAAATATGATCAAGGAAAACCTTTAGTTTCATTTATATATATTTTGTGTTGGTGGAAATGTCATAGGTATTACATTTTTTCCCTCACTAATTTTTACTTTAAATAGGTGCTCTTCAAATAATGTATTTGGCACAATGTACAGTGCTTATTAATCCTAACAACAACTTACCTTGTCTAAGTCCTTCTTTGCTGGGCTTTGTTTTGCAATAATGATCAAAATTGTGTCCACAGCGCATTTACCACCAGTCAAATGATTAGGGTGGCACACTGAACATTTGTTTAAAATCTCTCTCCAAATGAATTGAGAAGCCTTATTCCCACCCATCATATCCCTTTCCTTGTCACGTTACATTTTATATTGCTTATGCATGTCTGTATTTAATGGTTGTTGCAATAGCTTACTTGAGAATGTTACCATGAGCCCACCATAGGTTGAAAGTAATGTGCCATACCTCTGAACGATGCGTCATATTTTGTAAATACTGTATATACAATTATGTAATTGGTGATTTATACGTGTTGTATAATTCTGTAACATTTATTGACCCCTATTACTTGAAAAGGACATTTTCCTCCATTCTGTCCATGGGTTGCCACTTAATAAGGCCGAAGTTTCCTTTTAAGCATTGGGTGACTAATCTTTCCATGAAATAAATGTGTGCACATTTGTGGTGTAGATAAATATAGTTCGCTTAAGGTTGTGTTTTGGGGGAATCGGTGTATATAATAGGATAAAGTAAATTGCTGTGGTATTTGAATGTTTACACAGGGGATGTTTTGCTTAAAACAGTTGTACGCTTTTTCAATTGGCATATCCACTTTAATGCACAGTGATTTAAATCTCTGCAATTGTTCTCCCACAAAGTGCATCCCATGTGTTTGAATGCTGTTTATCCAATTTGCAATTGGAAACACAGATGATATATCCCAGGCCAGTAAATGTGTGCCACACGGGTCTTTACCAAGGCTCCCGCCCTATTTGTGGTACCTACGGATGCATTGAATGATCATATCCTTCAAACCAACCTTTGCATGATGTTGACAGTGCACTCTTCCTTGCAAATAATTACTTTAGCATTGTTAGCTGAGCAGTGCAGAAAAAACCCTGGAATGGTACGTGGTGTTATTGAAACACAGCACATCGTGGATTACATCAGACTTTCTGGAGTGTGATTATGGTAACTGTCGGTATTGGAGTGGACTAGTTCATTCAAGAGTAGGTTATTCTATTAAAATAACTACTTCTCATCAAAGCGTAATGGAAGAGTGGTTTAAAAGCTCCTCATAGATTACTTGTGGATCTAGTTTGGCACTAAAGAAATTCAAAGACAAGTATCTGCAAGCGATGCCGAATCAAATGAATGTCACACTCATTACACGCAAAATGCTTTTCCCATATTAACTACAATATCTTGATGATCTCATGAAGTTGCATTAACCATCATGCGAACTCCTTGGCTGGCTATCGAATAAAGATGATCACCGCATCGCGCGCTTTCAGATGCGCTTTTGTGGCCGTCTGGAACGCTCTTCCGATATTAGCAAGTCACTGGAGCTATGTACTTTAAAATCTAGATTTAAAACTCATTTCATTGGAGCTGCTTTTTTTGTTTAGTTTGTTGTCCTTCCCCCACACCTCCAATTAGCACTGTTGGTTACGTACGGTGCAAAAGTAGTTCAACATACAAACATACGTACAATGTGGCGAATGGTCAAAACCTTTAATGGCTTAACACGCACAATCTGTCATGACTTGTTGTCCAAGTGTGCACGTTCACCTGTGAGCGTCGTCGCTTCGGCGGGTACATGGTTAAACGCGTGCGGTGTTGACGAATGACAACATTTGCGGCGTCGCGCCGTCGACGGTCGACTGCTCGAGGTTGCCCCTCTTCGCCACTGGCTGCTGCGGCTCCGTTCACAGCGTGCCACTGAAATGTGCGCAGATCCTGTCGAGCGAGCCCAGCCGCAAGCAGCTGGGCCACGACGCTGTCGTGCTGCTGGCGCTGCTCGTCAATTACCGCAAGAACGAGGTGCGTGCCCCACGACCGGGCCTCCACAGAGGCGCGAGGGGATGAGGAACGTGGAGGGGGTGGGCAGCCCTTGCATGGCGGCCCTTGCTTTCACGAGTCCAATACAATCTTAGTGCCTTCATTTCATACAGGTGTTCCGTCACCAGAGGGCAATCATTTATGCTTCCCACCTTCATTCAATCCTCACTGATTAGAATACACTGCAATAAATAGGACTGAGAAGTGTGTTATTTTCAGGTAAGCAACACAAAAATCACGTTTCAGTCAAATTGCACTGCTTGTGAGACATTACAAATTGTGCACAACCGTCAGGCTCAAGGTTTATCTGTGAGGCTTGGCATGTGTCATTCACCTCCAGTAAGAATGTTGTTTTCTCACGATGAGTTGAAGGATCAGGTGGGATATTGAACACTTTCACAAGTCCATAAGAGGTTTTTTTTGGGTTAGATCGTGTAAATATGTGTCATTTAAACCCACCACCACCCAACAGAGCCAATTAGTAAGGTTTATCACGTAAACAAAACATGCCAATTAGTTCCTAGTTCAGCACACCAGTGTGTTGGAGAGTAAACTCACAACATTTCCAATTCGAGTATGACGTTTCGCCGATTATTACAACCAGCCTCATCAGGCGACAGCCAGAGTTGTGGAGAAATAATTTTTCAGTGTATGTTTAAAAGAGGGATAAATGTGATGTCATCACTTGTGAGCCTATCAGGTACTTGGACCAGAGCGGGGAAGGAGGGGGGGGTTAATGTGTTCATATAAATTACAATGGATATTCACAGGTAATTAACATACATAATGCTTGTAGATTATGTATGTAGATTACGTATGTACATCATGTATGTATTTTGCATGCACATTATGTATGCACACTTTTACAAGTTTCTGGGACATTTTGGTGGCTTTCAAGAATCAATCAACTCCGGCCAGTTACTTGAGTAACAAGTTCCGTACTGCTTCTGAACCATCAATGTCTCCACACTATATGATATACATAGCATATTTAATCACGTTTTTTTCAAGCATTTTATCATCTTTCATTTTCAGCATACAATTGTTTTTGTTGAAAGATTGCCAATTTATCAGTGATAACATGCATAAGCAATTCGTGCAAAGCTTTTAAACTTATTAGCATTTTTTTTCAACATTCAATAAGTAATACGAATGGACATAATACCCTGGACCTGTTTAAATGTGTTATTACGTACTATGTAAATGCATACCATTATAATTACACATTATTTTCAGTAAAACATTAGGGGTGCGCTTGTGTTTTTGAAAGTGCCCAATTATGCGTTCTTCTCAAGCGTTATCGCCCTACTGGCCATCTGTGAAAAAGAGGTTAATAGCTCATCGCAGATTCTGAATGTGTTTGGCGTGTGCTCATGCGTGGAATGTTCTCTCCACAGTCGGCAAACCCTTACATCGTCAAATTATCCATCCTGGATGATGAAATGGCGCTCAATGTGAGTGTCACAAGTTTTGTTTACATTTCCACTGTTAAACAAAAGTTATAGCCGTCCCACGGTGTCCTAATGCGCAATTGGGAGGTTGCCAGTTTTACTTCCTCGTTAGGGTTGATCATCATCATCTTCTTCCCTCTTGAATTAGTAAAATGAGCACTACTAGCTCAAGACCGTCACTCCTTGCTCTTGAGCAGAGAGAGAGTTTTGCCTCTTGTCAAATCTTTATAAGATAGGGTGACATTTTGGCCGAGGGCTTTTTAAAAAGCATGCCTAGCTCACTAAGCTCATCTCTTATTAAAATAAGGTAATAATGCTTGTAAAATTAACTTGAGAAGAGACTGATTATTAATATTCACATGGGCATTCTCATTCCAAGTGTAAAATGAAACCTCAAGCCGCCCTTTGAAATTGACACTCGACTTTAGTTGTACATCTTTATTAGTTGCTGTACATGGCCTGATATATCGGTTGGGTTATGGCCACCTTTTTAATCTCAATAAATATCACAGCATAAATACACTTTACTTAGTTGAGCCATGTTTTCTTGTAATGTGCTACCCCACACTGATACTGCTCCTTGCAAACCCAGCAGGTACAATGAGCTTTGCATTGTTACAAAATCATGTCTGGAAAATATATAATTAAACGAATGATCAAATCTTGACTTAAAGCATTCATGACTGCAGGAATTCATATTCCTTGGGTCTTTCGGTAAAGTTACGTAGGTAAAAAAAATGAAAATAAAGTGAATAAAAAATTATCAAAATATCACGACGTTTCGATCGCAACACAAGCAATCGTCGAAGTGGGCGGGGCTAGTGATGTTCACTAGCCCCGCCCACTTCGTTATGACCCTTGGGCTACACCCATTTCAAACCTTTAAAACAGCCTGCCTCAGCTTTCCCCCTCTTTTTTTCTCCTGATGACGATTGCTTGTGTTGCGATCGAAACGTCGTGATATTTGTATTATTTTTGATTCACTCTATTTTTATTGTATTTTTTTTCTATCTACGTGACTTTACCGAAAGACCCAAAGAATATGAATGATCAAAGTTTGGCCGCATGTAACATTCATTAGATAGACTGTCCTGTATTTATATGAACTTGATAATTAGCATAGTCCATTGGCATGAGAACAAAGGTGAAAATGCACCATTCTGTGAAATATAAGTTTGCTCAGTTTAGAAGTTTTGTTCCATTAGCCTGAGCACCAGCACAAATATATATTAAGCAGAAGTTTTAAACTTTGTGAGAATATCCTGGTGATTTTTTATGTGCGCTGTGGTCAGAGGCAGAAACCAAGGTGTTTCGTCCAAAGCGTGCTTGATCCTGTGCCCTCCTTGCAACAAAGTGGGCTGGGATGGTGGCCATTGCCTTTTTGACCTTTCAAGTTGGGGGCCAGCGCACGCCACCTTTGAAATTATTCCTGCTTTTATATTTGTATTCGTTAGTACACCCGAGTTTCAGTTAGACCTCTAATGGATGCTTCAATTGTATATCTTCCATGTTCACATCGAGTATATGAAATACGTCTGTTTACTTACAGAATAATTTTTGTGTTTTTATTTGCAGGGGGAAGGGCTTGTCATTTCTAGGGCTCTCACAGAATACAACAGGTTGGTATATTTATACATTGTGTGACATTACATGCACAATAAAATCACATGATAGAGACTCTTTGTGCGTGTATGCATATTTTTATTTTATGTATGCATGTTGAACTTCATAATGGGAACTCCCTTGCCAGTATCAAAATATAAGAATAGGTTTTACCCTTTCTGGCAATAAAACAGTTGTTGTGAGATGTTTAAACACCAAACAGAAACCTTTTTGCAAGGAATAATATCTGCTTTAGCCACTAAGGCTTGCACGCATTTGTGTGGGTGTTTACTACAACTGCAATAACACTACATACAAATCTCCCCGCTATAACCTATTCACTGTCTACAAATCTCCCCGATTACATATTACTGTATCTCCCCAAACTTTTTATTCACATTAATTTTTAGGAGATATTAATGGTCTATAGCAATTCCTTTAAGTTTGTATTTTTTTCAGTGAGTAGTTTCTTTTCTGCCGCCTAATTACCCATATTCTTGCATACGCTCCATGTGCAAAACTGAATGGGGTTTTGTTTTATATATTTATGTTCTCACGATGGTCTTGAGGAGCCTGCACGGTCTTAATTTGTATGCAATGCCAGGATAATATAGTGTCACTTTTAAAATTGTAATTTATTGGCCGTATGAAACTGACCCAGGGGAGAACAGTCCTGGTCCTTGGAAGGGTTACAGACCAGAAGCAGTGCATGCGTCGCAAGTGGCATAATTACGCCCTGGAGGCAGAACCAGTGTGCTCTTAATTAATCACAATGTGCCATTGACTATCGCACTGGCTAGAATGTCGACTCGTTATCTAGATACCCTTGAGTATCATTCCTGATTCAGAATGATCAAGTTTTAGGCAAATCAATGCATTTGGCATTGACTGCAGTAATAGTGAAGCAGCATAATGGTGCTGTGTAGTATACTGCGGCGGGGTATGTTGTTGGAACGTGCACAATTTGAATTCCTTATGGTCAGTGTGCAGAGTACACCTGCCTGGATTGCTCACCATGTGTGAAAAATTTATTGGGTTCGCTAAACTACTCCTGTCAGAAAATGTTTTGTGAATCGGGTCCGTTCTTGTCAGTGATTAACTCCTCAACGATGTAACCTATTCACTGTCTACTAAATGCATGACATGTATACACTTGTACCACGTGCACATAATTCGGTGCAGTAGAGACAAGGTTGTTCCATAAAAAAAAAAAACTTACTCAAATCACACCTTACCAATCATTTTTCTTTTGTATGGTGGGATGGAAATGCAACAGTTCTGAAGTGTGTTGTAGAAGCGAAGTAGATTCAACCAATACAAGGAGACAGCAGTAGACGCTGTGTGGATCGTAGTGACACCACCAGGATGTCGTATGTATGTCGAACTTCTTTCGCACCTTATGTAGCCAACCGTGCAAATCAGAGGTGCTAATGTTACGCGGATGGCGAATTCGTCGGTGATGCGCTTTTGATGGTTTGGACTTCACCCCGCGGTTCGGCGATTTTTTGATCGTCCATTTGTAGAATGTGGACGCGCGTCTCCCATGCTGCGTTCGAGCAGCGTGGTGTAGCGAGCTCCTTAGGTGCTTCCACACTCAGGTCCTCAGCGAGGTGTATGTTGACACCATCTATTTCTCATTACACTTGACGAATGACTGATGTTTAATGTTTTAGTAATTTGCGCAGTGCCCTTGTAATGGCTTGCCATGTTATTAATGATAGTTTGTCGTATAGCTAACTTCACTGATTTTCATGCGAAAAAGCGGGAAAAATGTTGTGAAGTCTTGCAAGCAGCAGTCGACGTTCATAAGTGCAGTGTCACATGCGTCGTGTTGAATTCCTTCTTCCCTTGCTTCCCATATGCCACAGGCAGTACAAAGCCAAGGAAGAGGAGCACCAGGGAGGCATCTTCTCGGCCATCACAAACATGGTGATGTATTAAGCATCACACATGCAGAAGCAAATTATCAATTTCAGGGAAATTAAATACTAGACTAGGGCATATTTTACAAACATGGAGCTCTAAAACACCTTAGAATGTATGGCCAATTCTATCGTAGAGTATTTTTTATGTGTTGAAGGACACTTGAATAGCTGGTGAAAACTTACGCGCATGAGGTGATAACACCCGCACATCCATACAGATAGGTCGGCCAAACCTACCTTCTGTACTGCTACCACAGTGGCCACATTGTTACACTGGCAAGTAACTTGTGTTTTTTCGCACCCTTCCCTCGACGAGAGTGAAATTTAAAGCTGTGCGAAAAAGGTCAAAATCAGCAAATGCTGGCCTTGTAAATGGCACTTGTGGGCAAACATTATTTTTAGGAAAAAAAAATCTTTAAAGCTGGCCTGGCTGATATTTTGCGTTGTCCTGATCATGCGTTTTTCTGGTGCACATGACCCAAGCTCACCTGAAAAGAAGCTCTTGAATTGTCTCATTTTATATATATACAATAATCTTTCAGCTCTACTCTGTGGCTGTGACATTATGTTTGGCATCGGCTACATACATACGAAAGGTTTTTTTCTAACGTGGGCTATTTGATTTGTAGGTCGGAAGCATGTTTGTGGGAGACGGAGAAGAGAAAATGTCTGTAAAGTAAGTGGCTTGGCAGCTTGCTGCGTTACTATTGCATTTGATCACATATCCCTCAGGATATCACTCAGGATATGTTATTATAGCAGATAGAATGAAGCAATAAGGAGGTAAAATGGTATCAGTGAGATTATAAGTCACAACGTTTTGACCTATAAAGAGCGAGAGGAAGATTTGTGAATATGCTTTAAACTCCAAAAAAGAGATGCATGTTTTATGCAAGATACACTATTACAAATATAGGTATTAGATACAACATGATAACAATTTTTATACTTTAACATTTAGTGTTACTATGCATATATGCATATTTTGGAATACAGAGTACACTGAGTATATATTTCGATATACACTGAGTATATAATTCATATTAAAACAGAACAATGGAATGTAGACCCATTGTTATTTAAGTGAACTTCTATATATCTAAATCACCTCAAACCTCCCATAATTACACACGATTTATGTGTGACCACCCCCATTATGAATCCATCCCCTCTCGCCACCCCCTGTGATAACATACACTGCTCCATGCAGCTCACTTCAGCTTGCTATTTCTCCCACCCTCTTACCTCTCATCATCATCATCATCCTCTTCTCATCCCGATAACTCGGCCCAGTCATTCCTTCTTCTCCACTTCCTGTCCGGCGCTCCTCTTCTCTGTTGTTGAAAATTCGGTCACAGTCCCTATGATCACTGTTACATTGCATTTATGGCTTTATTTTGGTGATTTCGAAAAGTTTTTTGGTTTGGCCATGTTTTTGTTTATTGTAGTATGTAGTTAGACTGATGGCCTTAATCTTAGTTGTCTTGTGGTTGTTGTTGTTGTTGTTATTTGACTTGCATCCCACTGGGATTTTTGCACACAGCGTTGGTGCACGGTGCTATTTCAGGAATATTTTGATGTTTTTCCTGGATTTTCTGTTTGCACAGTCACATAGTCACTTTAAGACGTTTTCTTGTTCATGTTTTTGTTTTTTGTTTGTTGTGGCTGCACCCGATTCAAGAGCCGAATGGCTCACAGGGCTATACCAAATAAATGGAACTATGAACTATGAACTCTTGCTGCCGACTCGTATTGAGCAACGCCCTCCTCGACCCTCTCGGTGACTTGCGTCCCGGCATCCAGAACCTTTGACAATCATCTTTCTCTGTCCCCCCTTACCTGCTTGTTTCCCTTTCCCATTCCTTTTTATTTTTCCATGCATGATATCCTTGACTCTGGGTCCCTATACGTGGTACATGCTACGGAAACATGTTTGCCATTCAACCATTTGAATGGTACAATACCAATCGGATGGAATAACATGGTTAAATGACCACTGCTACAATCGTTTCCTTGGAATAGCTCACAAATATAGATTTCTGGTCTCTTATTTCAAGTGTGTTGTGACTTGAGGGGAGGCATTTACTTGGCACAGATTCCAGCTGAAATTGTTGGCCCCGAAGGCTAGCATTAAAGTCAGGTCACTGGAAAGGATACAGGAATTGTTGGTAGTTGGCATGTCACGTGATACAACAGTCCATAAACCTGCCTCGGTACAATGTGTTCTACTGGATTAATGTGCTTTATATTCCACAGTTTGCTCTTAAAGTAGAAAATTCTGGGACAAACCTGTCTGTACTTTTAAAATGGGAAAATTCTACAACAAATCTGTATTCACATTTAATGTCTGTAACACTATTATCATCTAGATTGCCTTACCACTGAGTATTGTGATGCTTTGACATTGTTTGGCTTGCATCTGCTTCTACCTAATGTTTGACTTTTAACTGCGTCAGTCTCTTGAGAGAGGGCTGGCTACATTACATGCTTTCCTGTGTGCAATATGCAGTTAAAGTAATTGTAATCAGCCAGATAGTAAAATGGGATGTTTTTAATTGTAACTAATTATGGTGTAATGATCTTCTGCTGTGGCATAGAGTTTGTGTTTATTTAAACTAAGTTGCTGCTAAAATGTATCCTGCTACATGCTGATATAGTGTTATGTTCAAACCAGTGTCTGGTGGCTCTGTGATTAGACTGCTCAACTCACAATTCTAATGTCACAGGTTCAAATCCTGGTCGGTTTTTACCCAGCCCATCATTCATTAGGGGTCAATAAATTATGGACCTTTCTTTGGGAAGCCAGCAGCACTCGTCCTGTGGAAAGGGTAGTTAGTCCCATATCTTCAGAATGTGGACTTCACTTCACTGGCCCAGGGACACCAATGTATATAAGCGCCACCCTATTTGCCTGGTGATTTGTGCACTCATACAGAGGTGCCATGTGTGACCATTTATACTAGAGCGAGAAGCTCGTGGAAAATGGGAATGCGTGTTTATTTTTGATGCGTAACTGCTGGCTTTGTTTCTTACGTAAATTGTCCTCCAGTCACCCTATTGTCGCAGGTAGGCTAGAAAGTGAGTGAATATATATACATACATTTTAACTTGTCTTACACTTCTGAAACTGCCTTAGTTTTATTTTTGTAGCATCAATACTGTGTGCTGTCAGAGAGTAGAGCTACTGGTTATGAAATGTGCATTTAAGACGCATTTATCATCATTACAGAATGAAATGTGGGAAAGTGGGGTAGACTGCCTGCCATGGATTACCCCAACATCCATATCCAATTTCCCACTTAACCATGGCAGTATCCGTGAGTGCAGCGCGCCAACCGCCAGGTCTCAGTCAGTTGTGCCGACCCTGTGATTTGACTCATAGTTGAAGAGTTGCAAGTTTTAAATCCTAAATTGGATTTGGTTCAGCCCATTATGTCCCTCAATGGTTGATGACAAACAAAACGATACACTTTTGAAACTAAAACTATTTTATTTTTACCAGGTAAGGCCCACTGAGCTGTATGACTCTTTTTTTCAGCAGCAACCTGGCCACATATGATAGCTCAATGAAGTGGCTTATCATCTGGAAATGTATACCAGCCAAATACTGTAAACGCATATTTCTAAATGTGGAGGGAAAAATACCGAAGGACCAGGAGAAAAAAAAAAACACGTGACCATGGGGAGAACATAGGGTCAGTCAGGATCAAACCGACAACCTCTTGTATACCAGGCAAGGTCGTTAACATCGCCACCATGGCACCCATAAAATTAGTGCATTTTACGAGTTGGAAGCAGTTGTCATCCTGTGGAGAGGCTGAACTCTGCCACTGAGCGAGTGGTAGAATTTGGAATTTCCACCGCTTGTTCAGGGCCGCCAATGGAGTTGAGTAAACTGCATTGCTCGTTTGAGCAAGAAGACACTTTGACTTAATTTGGATTCTTAAGTCGATGATTTAAAGCTTTACTGTTGGCAGTGTATTTGATAGAGCTGATGTTGGGGGAAAAAGTAAATTTAGTTTAATGACCTGCTCTCCTTTGCAACGTGTTGTATACATGTTTTACGTGTGTCCTTAGACATTAATGTACGTGTTATTGTCATAATTGATTTTACAGCTGTGCCTAGGTTCCAAGCACACACAAATGTTTTGTGCTTGAGTCACATTGTTTTAGCTCGTATTGCACAGTAATATTTGACTTATATTCGTACAGTACATAAGTCATCGGATAACAATTACTTTGGACGTTTACGCTGCTTACCGCTCAGTCAATACAGCCCTATGCAAAATATACTACTTCCAGTATGCTGTAGTAATACATGCTTTCTCATATTCGGAAAATGCAGAGCATTAACTCACATACAGAATCAATGTTCCAAGCAGTAGCACTGATAATACGAGGACAGTAACACAAATAATGAGCGCCCTTTGATGGAATGGGCAGAGTAAGCTAAAAGCACACCGCTGTAGTAAACTGTGTTGACAGTGGCTTATGGGCAACATGTCTGTTGATATCAATGAAGAGCTTTGAGCCTGAAAGGCATTCTATGCTGGCCTTTACCCAAGATCCTTGATGGAAAGTCACTGGCTTCCTTTGGCAAATGCTGTGCAGCATCCTCATGTATGCCACAGCAGTTTCTGCCCACTAGTAGATAGAATAAGCCCGCAGCTTATAAATATAATTATTATCAGCAGGATATCAACGCCGTTGCCATTGATGCAATCATCATACTTGTGAATAATGGCTAATGTAGAGTTTCCTTACCGAGAGGGCATTTAGTGCAGCAATATTCCAGAGAGACGTGATGTGAAATTATAGCAAAGCCGTAACGTTAAATGATATTTGAACTAAAAAAATGCATTTTATGAATTTATCAAAGCCATGAAGATTGATAGTAGACTAAATATATACTAAAGAAAATTATTTGCTTCTAAGGAAGGGCAAAACACATTGCAGCATTGAATACAAATGTAGGTAAAAAGAGCAGAGATGAGCATGAGAGATGAGACTGAAAGTATGTTAGAGTTTATACCGAAAAGGTAATAAACACCTTTTAAAAAAGGAATTCGGGAAATGGACGTGATTCGAATGAATAAGTGCCAATATACGAGAGATGTCCAATTTCAGCAAATTCAACACTTGAAGTGACCACAGACTCTTTGCCATACAAGTGACACATTTCAACATAGAGGATGAAATAAATTCCAGGAGACTCGATTATCCGCGCTCATGACGGGGAGGGCAGCTGCGGATAATTCAAGATCGTGGATAATCCAAAAATATAATATTTCCATGGATCCCTGTACCAAAAAACACTAATATAGGTATAAATTATGGTTACATTTATCTGCCATCACACAGTTTAATAAATTAAAACTTAGATATTAAATGATCAGATAAATCACTAAATTAAGCACAACTGACGATTTCGATTGTTACACTTTCGATTTAGAATGAATGCTAACGATCAGCTGATCGATGTGCGTGCTCAGTGATCACACTTTCCTGCTCTGACGCAGAAGACTGTCCACTAAGTCTATAGCAGAGCCACTCTGATAAAAATCAATCAAACTCTGCCCACTGATGTAAAGATATGGCAACTACTGTACTGTAGAGGTGACCATGTGGATTTCGGATTAACCGGCGCATATATTTCTTTGGTTTAAGCACGTGACTTGTAATAAACATTTACGAAAATAACAATATTGAACTGTTTTTAGATTATTAATTTGGGCTTAAGGGAAAATCCATGAGTTATTAATTTTTGTCATAATCTCAGGTGCGCAGTTAATTAAAGCAACCAGAACACATGATCTGAAACTGTCAAAATATGAAGAAGGCGAGATGAAAAGGGATGGTAATATCACATGAAAGCCAAAAAGCATAGCGCTGTGTAAGAAGATCAGAACATTTTTGAGAAGAGAAAGAAGAAAACACGATAAAGAAATGAATTCAATGTCACTGTGCAAAGGGAGTTTGAAAGCACCGAGAAAGAGGTTGATGATCGATTCGAAGATTTCGTGACTGCAGGAATTACTCTTTGGTTATTTTGGTAAAGTAACCGAAATGTATTCTATTATTATTTGATTTTATTTTCTACGTGACTTTACCGAAAGAACCAACGAGTAAGAGGTTGATGATTGTTAATTTACAAGTTGTAGTCCTTGGCTCATTAGTGGAGACAATATTGCAATGAGTACAATAATTTTATGCACATTTTTAGACCAAAAAAAAAATCCATTAACCCTTCCAGTAAAATCGAATTTAAGAGAAGTGTAAGAAGTTCCAGATATTGCACTTTAAGTAAATACTGCCCTGTGCAGTTTAATCAAGCTCCGAGACCAGATAACACATAACCGAAGATATTTTCTTTTACAAAAACGGCACCAACTGTTGGAAAATGTGATTGTGGACGTCCACCACGGAGTTTGAGCAATGGGATCGGCTCGTGTGCAGGAGCCAGATCGATTGTCGCCTCGTGATACTGAACGGATGCAGGTGACCTGGGGAGTGAGGAGGCCTTTATCCCCCGGTGGATGGATAATGATGTACTCTTAAGTACGTTCGCATAATCGCATACAAAGACAGATGTTACCAGTGGCATCAGCAAGAATTTTTCATTATCTTTTGCAACAAATATTTGCGTTTCTAAAGCACATAGCAAATATGTATTGAAAATATGTTACAAAAAGTTGTCAATGTACCACAGGGTATTTTATACTTGAAATAGTTCATTGTATTTTAGTTGACAAATTTAGGATGACAGTTTTAACCTTTTATTTGAACTGATGTCTTTGTACCTAACACACTTTGGCTATTTTGGTCGGTAATAGAACTCCCACAGTTTCATAATAAAAAAAACTGACAACTATTTGCCATTTAGTCTAACATTCTCATCGCACACAGTGGTGCTGTACAACCGCACAGACTGGATTTTTTTAAGCGGGGGCATAATCATTGACTGGCACCATAGACATTTGGAGAATTACACTGGAAACACGTTTTTAAAGTTGAATCACTGGTGCATTGCAGACACGCATACCCATCGCGGCTCATGTGACTTTTGTGAGTCGCTCAGTCCTGTATTCAAAGCATCTGCGTTGTCCTTTAGCGTCTACGTGTCTTCCAGCTAGTTTTTCGCAATGCAATATATCCGTTGCCCATCTTACAGATAGTAGGATGGGACGGTGTAGTGCTACATGCCTTGGTTAGAGAGTTGTGCACCTCAGGCATTTTTTTTTGGGGGGGGATACTTCAACGTAATTAGAGATTGGTAAAGTGGAGTTTAAGTTTGTTGTTTCCCTTGTGTGCCTTTTGTACACAACAGTTATTAAATGCTTGAGCTGCTTTGGGTGGAATCTTCTCATTTGTGTGGGCAAGAACATACCCTCAGGCCCGCAGTAATATTTTCCTTTTTATTCGCATCTGCTTGCGTCAGCACTTGCAAAAGCCTGAGAGATGGTGCATTATGAGCAAGGATTTTCAAAATTGCTTCACAGACCTTGTTGGGTAAATGAAACTTTTTTAAAGTCAAATCTTGACTTAAAGCTTTCGTGACTGCAGGAATTCATATTCTTTGGTCTTTCAGTAAAGTCACGTAGATAGAAAAAAACCTTTTTTTCACCTTGTGTTGCGATCGAAACGTCGTGATACTGTTATATATTTTTTTATCTATGTGGTTTTACCGAAAGACCCAAAGAATATTCTTTAAAGTCATCCGACAGACGTGTCTTTTCTTTGCAATGTGTGAATTAATTTTGCCTTGCTAAATACTCTGGCTAAACTGGATTATTGAGGACAAAATAAAACGTCGTACATTGGCTTTTATTAAAAGTCTCTCGGATAAGGCAGTTTATTTTTATGAAACAATTGACAAGTATCCATACACTGTGGAATGATAGCAAATCAAAAGTGTTTCTTTATGAATCCATAAGATGCATGACTGTTTAAAAAAATGTGCTCAGATGATTAGATGTTCACTTGTTGAGCAAATTCAGGTGACAAGTCGTATTCGTTATAAATAATATATTGTGTCTTGCAGCAATAATATGCCCTTACCCGGAGCTATATACCCATTATATATGTTGGGGCAACCTCTGAAGTTCTCTCGTTTAAACTGAAACCACATTTTTTAAAGTTAAGGCATGCAACAATCGTGTTTGTGTCGGTAATATTTACCTGGGTCCTTTGAACTTGCACATTGAAAATAAAGCAACGATTCAAGTATGAGACAAGATTCCTTCTGAATAGAGGTAGAATGAATACAGGTCGTTTGTTAAACTACAAATTACGTTTGAAAGAGAGGAAAAACAAACCAGTCTTTGATTAGCAGGATCAATTAGAACAAGTTGAGTTGTGGTTTTGAAGTGAAATGGATTAAAATTATGTATGTATTAGAAGCCATTTCATAAGCATTAAAAGTACACTTTTTAATTGGAAATTAAAATTAGGTTATTTATGCAATTGCAATCTGTCGAGTAAAATTGCTGATATCCTGAAACGAGCAATATGGGGACATCTTATTTGCACATACAGCCGCTCAGCCAGCAATGGAGAAATGGCTGGGGTTTCTTCACATTTTGAATATCATTGACGTCCTACAAATTTGTATTTATTTTATCTGGCCTGGAGGGAAGACGAATTGATTCGACCCCTTGGCTGGCATTTTAACTTATACTCTTCTGGCTTTGACTCGCGTGTTCTTAACAAAGCATTACCGTCCTGGCTGAGATGGCAAATGGCTATTTTGTGTATTTAACTTTGTAAATAATTGATATTTCTTCCTGCTGCTGATGCTACTACTGTTGATATGAATAGTAATGGTGATGATGGTATGTTTCTTGTCAGGACGAATGAGTCCATTCTGCTGGCGCTGTATGAGGCGGTACACCTCAACCGGAACTTTGTGGCAGTTCTTGCTCACGTAAGTATTTTTTTATAGTTGATGTGGCTTATGGGGCAAAGAGGCTCATTGAAGTCTGATTTGATTTTCAAATATAGACCTACGCAGGTATTCTCAGAGTGCAGTTTGACTGCATCAGATGGGTTTAATGAGAGTTTATGAATGCATTTCGTTGTAATTTGGGCTGGCTGCTGCTATGTTGTTTGAACTCACTGTGATCATATGAACTGAGCTCTTCCAAAGGGGAAATTCTCATTTGGTGCTATACCGTTGAGTTGTACATTACACGGAATTAAAATTGCACTGCCTTTGTAGTCTATGTTGTATTAGAATGGCATCACGTTTAATGAAAGATCTGACAAGTTTGGACTAGACACACTCAACAAAAGCATTATACAACTACAGCATATTAGAAGTAGGAAGACAGAGTAACGTTATATTCATGAAAACCAATATACAGTTGTAGATAAAGGTTGTAATCTTCATCCTCAACACCAGGAAAAAAGTAACAGTATAATGCTGTGTTATGCTTATGTTATCAAGGCTTGCGTGCCAGTGTATTACGGGTTTGCCGAATAACAGTGGCTGTGTCTGCTGCTCAGGAGAGGGAATTGTTTCCTACTGTGTATCGTTTCTGATCCTGTTATTCACACACCTACAGTCCTGGTGTTCTGTAAATTGGAGACGGCATATCTCACTGAACATACCCCCCACTATCGGGGGGCACTGGCTTGCCATGTTGAACGAACGATCCCCAACCACTACCCCCGCCCCACCCCCACCGTTCCTTCTGAGCAGCCAGCTCCACAGATATGCATCGTGACAATGCAGTTTAACCCTCTTTGGTAATGCCCCTGAATCTTCCTGAGAGCAAAACTGGCCGATGATTAAGCCGTGGCTCCGGGTTTAACACTGATTGCCACGCACGTATTGTTTTTCCCAAGCACGCTGATTTGAACCAAAATACCGTAGGTTATTTCTCCTATGCATACAGCGCATTTTGATATTTTAACTCGACGTTTGTTATAAGTGTTCTTGGGGCTTGAATTTTGCTTACACCTCTGAGGCTAACAGTTCGTTTTTGTAAACTTGCTTTTTCCCGGATACTTTTATGGCAGTTATTAGCTGCTGAGCACTACAGAAATGTGTGCACACGTCTCGACGGCTTATATTTACGTTACGAGCTCCGTCGCTCAGCCCTGTGGTGCAGACATGGTGGCAGCTTCTCCACGGTGTAGTTTCCGACTGCCTTTAAATACAAAGCCTCGGGAAAAGTGAACGTCAAACAACCAGCTACACTGGCACCTAATTTATTAAGCTGCTGCACAGTTTTTAAAAGTCCTTGCTCGATTGCAACAACTTTCAGAGTGATAAGGTGGGGGCTACTGCCGGGTTTTCCTACCCACGCGCTCTCTTGCCCATTAGCAAGTTTCAGCTTCACGACATTTTACAACTTTGCCGTTTGTCTTTGGAGCCTATGTCCGCAGCTTGATGTGAACTATCGTTCATCATAAACCTTCCGACAGTTCCTTGAACATTTTCTTCCGCATAGAAAAAGCAGATTAAAGGCTGCATGGAAATCAACAAAAGGGTTGGAAGTGGACCGATGTCGCAAGGCTGATGTGTAACAAAACATGTTTCTGTTATTTCCTAATTGCTTATGCCTCAAAAGTATAGAAAATGACTATTATTCCCCACAAACTTTGCTTTTGTGACCAGGACAGTGATATTTTGAAATGTATCTATTTTCAATGAGAAAACGTGTGCATTTGTGTCATTCCTTCACATAAAGTCTTGGTCACAAAAGCAAAGTTTGTGGGGAATAATTGCCATTTTCTATACTTCTTAGGCATAAGCGTTAAAAAATAACACTTAGTAACCAAGAAAATTTTTTACTGGTAGGAACCTCCTGGTTACACCAGCCCACAGGGGATTATTGTGTCTGTCTGTCGTGCATCCAAAAATGGGAGGAGAGGGGAGGGGCTGGGTGGGGAGGGAGGGGCTGGGTGGGGATGGGCTGGGTGGGGAGGGTGGGGCTTGGTGGGGGGTGGGAGGGGTGGGGCTGGTCACCCCGTGGTGCCCTTATAAATCTCAACGTTTAACCTACTCACGCCGGCTTGTGCCCGCCCTCACAGTCGGGCATATTTGCGGAATACACCACGTGGTGCCGTTGACCCTGGCCATTGACCGAGCAACCCAACGTTCCTACCAGCTCCCTCCGCAGGAATGTGTTTTTTTACATATAATTCATTTTACCTAACCCCAGCCCCGTGCATCTCTCTACCACGGTTTTGCCCTCGTAACACAATCAGAGTCGTGGAATTACAGCAGAGAAAACTGTTGGAAAGCCTACTTTGTCACGGTTGAGTTTATTCTTGGCTAATACGCCAGAAATATACTTTCGGTGTTTGCTTCCATGTGGAGTTTTAATGCATTAGAGGAGTGTTGTGGGCATTTTTTGTTGTTGTGCATAACAGACAAATATAGATTTTGATTTAAAGCTTTCGTGACTGCAGTAATTCATATTCTTAGTTTTTTTGGTAAAGTCACGTTGAAGAGAAACAACAAAATAATAAAGTATATATAAAACAATAAAAAATTCTCACGACGTTTCGACCATAACTCAAACAGTCATCTTCAGGTGTGTTGGTTTGCATAAATGTATTTGTAAACGGCGCATTTATTTATTTATTTAAAAAACACGTTGGCGTCACGCGCAGCGATTTGGCAGTTTGCCCAGGACTAGTCCATCTATTTTTTTTTTTAAAAGAGGAGGGGGGAGACGAAATTTTTTATAATGTATGCTGTCTGAAAGCCACTGTAAGCGTGAACAATCAATTAAGAACTGAAATGGTTTATCAAATCTTTCCAATGATTGCTAAGATAGAATCCATCTTCTCGGTTGAAATTGTCTCTGTGCTTGTATATGTGGATAGCCTCATGAACGAATCTCTCATGGAAGCCAGATGGCTTACAAAGAACCTCCGTCTTGGAAAAGTCTTTGTAAGCCATCTGGCTTCCATGAGAGATTCGTTCATGAGGCTATCCACATATACAAGCACAGAGACAATTTCAACCGAGAAGATGGATTCTATCTTAGCAATCATTGGAAAGATTTGATAAACCATTTCAGTTCTTAATTGATTGTTCACGCTTACAGTGGCTTTCAGACAGCATACATTATAAAAAATTTCGTCTCCCCCCTCCTCTTTTAAAAAAAATAGATGGACTAGTCCTGGGCAAACTGCCAATCGCTGCGCGTGACGCCAACGTTTTTTTATAAATAAATAAATGCGCCGTTTAAAAATTTTTTTGTGCAAACCAACACACCTGAAGATGACCGTTTGAGTTATGGTCGAAACGTCGTGAGAATTTTTTTATTGTTTTATATATATTTTATTATTTTGTTGTTTCTCTTCAACGTGACTTTACCGAAAAAACTAAGAATAAGACAAATATAGCTTTCGTTCTTGGCTTAAAGCTTTCGTGACTGCAGGAATTAATATTATTTGGGTCTTTCGGTAAAGTCGTGTAGAACAAAAAATTAACAATTTATATTTTTTTGTTCTACGTGACTTTACCGAAAGACCCAAAGAATATAAAGCATTAGTGTTTCATTTTCAGCTTTAGACCCCTGTCGAGTTTGAGAATTTAAAACAGTCTAAAGCCCGATTATGAAGATGAAAAATGACAACCCTCACTTCTCTCATCTAAAGCTGTGTGATATGGCGTGCCATATTTATTTTGAGGACAAAAGTAAAGACCTTTCGTTTTTTTTAAGTTAACTGTACTTCACGTGCAGTCTCTGTTCTTCACGAGGAGATTGATGGTGTATCGTTGAGGTACGATACGTCTTGTGCACCTGCTGGTAGCGCTGTCAGACATGCATTCGAATGCCATTTGCCTTCTACCTGTTGGAAATTATTGTGATAATTTTGAATGATTTAAGGTGGCTTTCTAGTGACTTGAACTTTGGCCGGGAGGCTGAGCGAGATTCAGGCCTTGGTGCTTCACCAGGAGAGTGCCGTTCTCTGCTGAAGGATTCCCACAATTGTCCTGTCTGATTTTTGAGAGATTGTTCTCCCTTTTTTGTCACACAAAAGCATTCAGATCGAAGGAGGAAGGAGTGGGGTGCATAGGCATGGTTTGTAACTCGTCGTTTTTACTTAAAGGAGGCAAAGCTGCTTTGAAGTTGTGGAATTTGTCGTACAGGCAGCATTGAGGCTTTACCGGTTCTGGCGTTTCATTTTGTGGCGGGGGGGGGGGGGGACACGAGGCTCATTCTACGAGATCAGTGGTGATCTCTCTATAAGAGACATGGCTACCGGCTCTCCCCTGAGATCACCACTGATCGCAGGGGAGAGCCGGTAGGCATGTCTCTTATACAGTGAGGGAAAAAGTATTTGATCCCCTGCTGATTTTGTACGTTTGCCCACTGACAAAGAATTGATCAGTCTATAATTTTAATGGTAGGTTTATTTGAACAGTGAGAGACAGAATAACAACAAAATCCAGAAAAACGCATGTCAAAAATGTTATAAATTGATTTGCATTTTAATGAGGGAAATAAGTATTTGACCCCTCTGCAAAACATGACTTAGTACTTGGTGGCAAAACCCTTGTTGGCAATCACAGAGGTCAGACGTTTCTTGTAGTTGGCCACCAGGTTTGCACACATCTCAGGAGGGATTTTGTCCCACTCCTCTTTGCAGATATTCTCCAAGTCATTAAGGTTTCGAGGCTGATGTTTGGCAACTTGAACCTTCAGCTCCCTCCACAGATTTTCTATGGGATTAAGGTCTGGAGACTGACGAGGCCACTCCAGGACCTTAATGTGCTTCTTCTTGAGCCACTCCTTTGTTGCCTTGGCCGTGTGTTTTGGGTCATTGTCATGCTGGAATACCCATCCTTGACCCATTTTCAATGCCCTGGCTGAGGGAAGGAGGTTCTCACCCAAGATTTGACAGTACATGGCCCCGTCCATCGTCCCTTTGATGCGGTGAAGTTGTCCTGTCCCCTTA